ACAGCAGCCAAGAATACCAGGCTGGCATTTGCTATTCTGATGTCACACTATTGGAAACCTGCATTGCCTCCATCTGGTGGGGACCATACCCAGAGAACCAACATCAGATGCATGAAAAGCCTTCCTCACTCAAACTTCCCTTGCAGAGAATCACCTCCGAAAAAGGTAATCAGGAGGTTATACAAGAACTGACCTGTCCAATGTGGCTGGACATAGGATTTAAATAAATCCCAGGTTTGAGAATCATCACTCCATGTGGGGGCTGGTTAGAGACAGTGTGGAGGGGGTGGGGAACCCTTGAACATTTAAGGACAGGCAGGATGACTAAGGCATTGAGTGATGAGGCGAGCTGGAAAATCAGAAGGAAATAATGGCAAAACAGATGAATTGCAGTCTATGCTTCTCTACAAACGAAAAGATGTGTTTTTCTTGCTAAGTACAAATGGGTAGTTTCAGTCTTTAGATGCTTTGGAAAAAAATCTGGAGGGAAAAGCTGCTCCATTGCAATCCAATTTCCAGACACTTTTTTCTATGTCAAAGCCAGCTGCCTGTTTCATTACTGAGCAATTTTAATGCTACTCTCCTGGGTACAGTCCCCATCAAGGAGATAGCGTTGATAATTTCCTGTGTCCTGCCTTGCAGTTGTTTTTACACTTAACACAACCTACACATTTTCTACTGTTCCTATGAATGGCTTAAAAAGTAAAAAATTGAGGATCTATGAATTGAGATGTGAAAGAGGGCTTATTACTTGTGGGGATCAGAAAAATGCCAACATCTATTCTATTCCAGATACTTAGTTCCATGAAGGCAGGGAGAACAGCTTATTTCTGCCTTACTCCCAATACCTAGAATGGCACATTGCCCTTCGCAAGCTTCAGCATTTTGTAGCATTATTAAACAACACTGTACATGTGTATTTTTTTTTTTTTTACAGTTTACAAAGTGCTTTCAGGAGCACCTTATTCAGTTCTCAGCAAGTCTTTGACCCAGGTAGAACTTGTTCTCCTCACTTTCCAGGTGAAGGAGCTTGGGCTCAGAGTTTAGCTGAAGCCCCGGAGTGAAAACTAAGACTGAAGTAGATCAGGAGAGCTAGGTGTTTGCAGGCTTTTTCCACACTACAAAACCACCAAGAAATGATGTTAGTCCACAGGAGGCCAGCACTGTGAATGGTCCATTCCTTTCTTGATACCCCATTTCAGGAGAAAAGTTTATAATTCTTTTAAAATGACATCAGATGATACTTACATAGGGAAACTTTGCCTTGATATTAATGTAAATTCCCTTCGCATTCAACTTCCTTAAAATTTAAATCTTTTCAACAATATAAACATTCATTTCCTCAAAAATTCGTGTTTCCAGCTGTGTCCTTGGCACTGCAGAGGCAGGTAGTGCCTGAAACCTAACACTGTAACAAGACAGCCAAGAGTGGTCTGTCAAAATCAAAATCAAGCATAATGGGCTGGGTGAAGGCCTCGGCCACAGGGTCCAGACAGATCAAGGGCAGAATGCCAACAACACCTGGCTTCAAGACATTGCTGGTGCATGCCATTCAGGAGCTGAGGTGCTTTTGGACTCAGGCATGTCTTCCAAGGACCAGGTCAGGAGGTGAAGGTAGCCCGAAATCTGTCCCATTCATACCACCCATGCCAGCAGCATCAGACTGCCAAGCAGACAGTAAATAGCTTCATTTGCATATTTTCAGTGTTAAATAAAAAATCCAAATCCTGCACATGTGCAAAAAAAAAAAAAAATGCTTTCACATTTCTGAAAGCAGAAATTTACAAAAAAGGAGCTCAAACAGAAGTATTGACTGACAACATCTGGAATGAGAAGAGAATGAAAAGGGGCAGTTCTGCGTTAGTTCTCCAAGTTAGCCTCTGTCCATTCACAGTCCAGGGGTCTCAGGTGGCCCTCCACAACCACAGGGCCTGAGATGGCTGGCTGCTTTCTTCCAATGGAACAATTACGATTTAAAAATAAGACAAACTCACTGCTTAAATACCTTTATTATTTTTTAAAAATTATTTGGACATTGATAGCTCTGCAAAATACTTTTCCCATCCCAAACCCTCAAACCCTTCCACATGTCCTCCCTAAAGAAACAAAATATTCATACTTCGTGCCCATTCAAATCTAATTTTTAAAAACATGTAAGATTCAAAATCAAATATTATTTTTTCCCAAAACTTGTTAGTAATTTTTAAACCACAATGTAACATACTTAATGGCATTTCTTTTTAAAAATTAGCTTATCAGACTATTTATGAGGAAAAAAAAAATCAATTCAAGGCCTTAGAGAGAATATAAATTCCCTGTTTCTGAAAGCAAAAGACATTGAAAAGCCCCTTTGCTCCCCTGGAATTTGCTATTTCAACATTACCAACAGAACCAGCACGTAGATTGACGTCCTACTTAATATATCAGGCATTGCTTAGTTACTTTTGGACTGCAGCTGAAACGCTGTAGTTTGAGAGGTTGGGTGGGTGGGATGGGATAACTCCAGCACAGAAGAGAGATGAGGTCGGGACCACAGAATGGAAGCTTTCTGAGCAGTGGAGTATTAACAGCCAAATCCCTAGGATCCCACCTCACAGCAGGTTTGTTTGGGGTGGAGGAAGACTGTAGAAGATCTGCAATCTGCACTAAATTCTTAATGATGAACACAAGCGTCAACCAAAAATATTGCACATAGTACCAGAGGTATGTAAACCACTGAGAAAGTTCAGGAAAGAATAACTTCAGATGGAGATGATCCTTCGAGTTCCTTTGGGAACTGAAAGAAAAGGAGTTGATGTTGATTGCCTGGGAGTTGCTAAGAGGAGGTGGAAAATAATCCCTTCCCTATCCTCAATGGGCAGATTTTTATGTGAACAATACTTCATCACAGAAGTGTTCAAAAGATCTAGTAAAGTTGTCACTTCATTTTCCCCAATAAAACTGTGCACTTTGTTACCTCGCTAAAAAAGAAAGGAACCCTACAAGAGCCTGGCCCGCCTGGCTAGATGAATACCAGCAATGTCTGCAAATATCTTTTCCTGTGCACTCAACCCATAGGGCTATAGAGGCCCCACAATCTCCAGAGGGTGACCTTAGCCCTCAGTATTGAGTGGGGCCTGTATCCTTCAGGAGCTTGCCAAATGCAGACCTCACGAGCATGCCACAAAAGAACTGAGCTGAGCGCATGCTGCATCAAGCAACACAGTTCCATAGTCTCCTGTTCTGACGTAAGTGAAGCCACAGAGAGCATCACCTCTTCGGTACGTAATCAGCTGGGTTTGACCAGAGCCAACCTTTCTGTTGCCTTTTTGAGCTGTAAAATCTAGAAAAGACTCTGACTCATCTCTGAGAATGGACGTGAATCACTTCCACTTAAGTCACTGGGGCAACTTTTTCTGGTTCCAAGGCCCTGGTCTTTCTGAAAGGGTTGGTCAACCTCTGTGCAAAGCTTAGGACTACATATCCTGGATGTCCCAAGTGCCACTGACTACTTTCCCAAATACTTCTCCTTTTAAGGCTTCCCCTAACATTCAATCTCAGTAACATACAGTACATATGTCATTAAAAGGAAAGTCACTTTTTCAGAATAAAAAACCTTCCCACTGCGCATCTAGACCAAAGGCTTTGTTTTCTTATACCGCCCATGGATATGCAACTTTCAGTTTGTTTTGCTCCTGTGGGTCATAATGCTATCTTGTTTTTAAAGCTTTCCCCCTTGTATTGGGAGTAAGTCTTGTAAACCACCAGAAAATGCCAATCTCCCCCAAAGCCCTGCCCCTGTCTGCGGGCTACAATTGGTGCCAACCTACTAAGCTTTTAAAAACATTTAACAACAGAACAAAACAAAAAACCACACACACACACTTTGGCACGTGAGCCTCGAGTTATTTGAGCGTGTTCATGTTCCCGCCTCTCCCCCATCCCCTGTATCAGAGTCACCATATTAGAATGAGGGCCCCTTCTGCCTGATGGAGAAGGTGGCCTCGAAGCACTGCTGTTTTGAGTAGCAAAAGGAGGAGGTACAAATGCTAAACTGGCTCCAGAAACAGTTCTCCTGTTTAGCACTATAATTTATGCAATGCTGTAAAACCTTTGTACCAGATGACTCGTTTCAAACTGCTGGTTGATTAAATATACATTTACATATAGATATAGGTATAAAAATTACTAAGTCAACATTTGCTGTTTTCAATGTGAAAACGATAAAATGTAATTCTGAATAATTGTGCATTTGCCATAGGGTCCTTGTTAAAGGGACCATAAAAATAATTTTGTAATAAAAAAACTCTTTTTTTTTAAGTTTAGTATTGCCCTCAAGTTCAAAAGTTTGGAGCAAACGTGCTGAGTAAGCAGGATTGGAATCTGTTCCTGCCAGGGATCTGGAAGCCTTAAATTTAGTGATCCCCAATGGCAGGCCCAGGGAACCTGGCAGCCACTGACTAGCTTGGCGTTAACGTCACAGGGCTGGGCAGTGCCAGCTGACCCCGTTAAGCAATCAGCCTCTGCCTCACATTTCATTGGCGAATGCTGCTGTAGTTCGCCAACTCCCCGCACAGAGCTCTGGGGAGCACGCGTGTGCTGGGCCTCTGCCTTCTCTTGAGCTACCAGACTAAGCAACTGGGGTGGAGGGTGGGGAGGAAATCGAGGACCTGGGTGGGGACCACTGAGCACCAAGGCTGAGGGTGATGGGGGAGGGGAGCGTCTAACCTTCTCCTAGGCTGGAGGTGGGGATAGAGGAAGGAATGGGTATTTCAGTGATACAGAAGTTAGCTGTGCAGGAAGGAAAAGTGCATTTAAGGTAGTTTAAAAACAGATTAAGACCAAACTGCCAGAGAGGGAGGAAGAATGACACCACTCCCTCCACCTGCCCTGCTGGTCGGCCATGCTCCTTGGATTCTGTGGGTTAACATTCATGCTTTCTGATGCGAGTCTGCACGTGAAGAAACAGGAACACATGTTCTCCTGGTTCTGGCAGGTACACAATTTTCTTGGCAAAGTTCTTTTTTGCCAAGTTCAGTTTTATTTGGTTGCTCTTCTGAACCGTTGTCACCGGAACTCATAGATGGGTGCACTGTGTTCAGGAACATGAGTTAGATTGAGAGACTGATACCTATAATGGGGGAAAAGATAGAAATGGGAGGCAGTCATCTAAGCATCCTGAAACTGGAAAGAAGGAGGTTAGAAAAAACTGCCCTACAACCAGAGCACCCAACAAGGCCCACACTTGGACCGGAATGCCAATTCATCTCAGGCACCGTCAGACAAATCTAGTTTGGTTTTATTTTCATGTCTTTAGTTAATCCTCCCAAACTATGCTTAAAATGAGCTGTTTGTAGGCCGTCTGCTCTAATTATGAAGCACTATGTCTTATAAAGCGAGTGCCTAAGTAAATTCTAGGAGAAGATGCTGACCAAAAGCCTGACCTCCATGCCCATCCTCCTCCCCGCATTCTAGCTCTGCCTGCTCTGACCTCCAGCATCTCAGCAACTTCTGTAACGTCAGGATGTAACAGCCTTAGAACTTTAACACCAGCATATCCTAATTTTCACAGAATCCAAAGAGAACATGGAAAAGAGAACTTCACAGCTAACTCTAAACCTTATTTTGCCACTCATCTTCACTTTCTTGCTTTCTGAGATATGGTTATCAGACTTTGAGAACACTGAGAACTCTGAGGTACTTGTTTTCCCCCAGGTGGTAGGTGTTAGGAGTCAAACATATGAGGAATAGAGAGCCCAGGACAATGCATATTCAGGGTCGGATAACCCACAAGGACATTCAGAATTGATGGGTCAGGTGCTAGCTCTCCCCTTATTTCATATAGCAGTAAGGAAGAGCACGCTGAGGAAGAACGCAGGAAAAAGCAGTTTATGGATCATGCACTAGCCACCAGAAGATGCAAATCAAAACCACAAGATACCACTTCCTACCCCTAAAACATATATAAGTGCAATGGCAAAAAAACAAGTGTTGGGGAGGATGTGGAGAAACTATAGAAATTGGAACCCTCATGCATCACTGGTAGGATATGTAAAATGGCAAGGCAGCTGTGGCAAAGAGATTGCTGATTCCTCTAAAAGTTAAATACAGGGCTTCCCTGGTGGCGCAAGGGGTTAAGACGCAACCTATGAAGCTTCCGCAGCCTGTGCAGCATGAGTTTGATCCCTGGGCCAGCAAGGGAGCAACCCACATGGCACAGCAGACTGCTCCTGACTCGCCCACTGTTCCCCTCAGCAGTGTACTTTGGTCAATCTGCCTGTTCTGTTCCCCCATCTGTCTCTGGTGAATCCTTTCACCCCCAACACCTCTGGCCTGTACCCCAGCTCTTGTATGCATAAATAATCTTTAAAATAAATAAAAATAAAAATTAAATACAGAATTACCATATAACCCAGCAACACCACTCCTAGGTGTATGCCCAAAGGAATAGGAAACAGGAACTCAACCACATACTTGTACACTCAAGTTCACAGCAGTATAATTCACAGTAGCAAAAAGGTGGAAACAACCTAAGTGTCCATCACCTGATGAATAAATATGTAAAATGTGGTACGTATTCTTACAATGGAAAATTATTCGAAAAAAAGTGTTGACACTTGCTACATGGCTGAACCTTCAAAGCACTATGTTAAATGAAAGAAGCAGGCACAAAGGCCGCACAGTGCATGATTCCATTTGCATAAAATATCCAGAATAGGCAACTCTACACAGAGCAAATGTACATCAGTGGTTGCCTAGGCTGGGAGGGGAAGGTGAGCTGAGTGTGAGGGGTATGGGCTTTTTCCTGTGGTGGGGAAAATGTGCTAAAATTGCTCATGGTAATGGCTGCACAACTCTGCTTTATACTAGAGATCAGTGACTTGTAGGCCTCCCTGGAGGTGCAGGTGGTTGAGCGCAGCACTGTGAAGCTGTCTGCAGCCTCTGCAGCACTGGTTTGATTCCCGGCCAGCCAGGGAGATACCCACATGGCGTGGTGGACCTCTCCTGTCTTGCCCGCCGCTCCCCTCAGCAGTGTACTTCAGTCAGTCTGCCTGTTCTGTTCCCCTCTCTGTCTCTGGTGAATCTTCTCACCCTCCTGCACATCTAGCCTGTACGCCGGTTCTTAAAAAAAAACATCAGTGGCTTGTATACTTTAAATGAGTTGATTGTATGGTAGATGTCATTTAAAGCTGTTATTTAAAGACTGATATGAAAAGTTTCTAAAACCACTTGTAAACAGAAAGATGACTGAAAATCCTAAAGCCTGGGGCGCTCAGAGTTGAGGCTTCACGAAGCGCTAGGGCATACATTCACAGAGATCATTTGCTGCTGCTGCACCAGGAATACGAGTTGCTCACAGGTCACGAAGTGAAAGATCTGAAATAAGTGTTTCTATGTTCAGAGAGGGAATCGGGGATTTTATAATATGGTTTGACCTTCTAGAATCTTAAGATATTTTTAAAAGCAGCACGGAGGCAGAAGGGACAAGAGCGAGCACTTAGGTGGCTTGCAGTCCTTTCCTTCGGGTGAAACACAGGGCAGGGCTGTCCCTTCCCCAGAGCCCCTAGGTCATTAGTTTGATGCTTGTAGGACCAGCATCTAAGGAACAGACCACACATTAAAAGGCTACAGACAGCAAAATTCACACTATCAACAGCTGGATCTTATATTTTCGTTGCCAATTAAATTTGAGAGGAATAATACAAAACCGGCAAGATTGAGAAAATATAGTACTGCTTGAGAGCATTTAGCAATGAATTCTTTATCTGACACTTCATTTTCATCTTGTTTGCTCTGTGGATAGGGATGGATGCCTATTATAAGCAAGTGAAATGATTGAAAGAGTCCCTCAGCAACCACATAAAGCATGAAATCTATGCAGAGATAGGCAGAGAGACTTTCTTGTGGATTTGGTGAGCAACAAGAGAGCTGTGGCAGCTGGCCCCTACAGAGGGCTATGGGTTCCTTACCATTCTGAACTCCTATGGTAATAGTAGCCCTCTATGGAGGCTGCCGACTTCTGGAAGCAGATGTAGTAGAACCCGGCAAAGGAAGCACCGCTGATGTCTTTGATCGTGTGGTCTGGGACCAGGAACTGCTCCTGTGCATAGATGGAAAGGGTCAGCAACAGAGGGCAGACTTCAGCCACCTCTGGGGTTTCCTTCAGGTGTCCCTAGGGTTGGACTACCACATGGTCTAGCCATGACTACCAGGATGATGGCAATCTTGTGGTTCAGCCTCAACTGTGACTAACATTCATGTGCCCCTTGAGTAGTGTGCGTACTAATGTGGCAAACTGTCTTGAGCTCAACAGAACCAGCAACTAAGAGGAGGTATGATTGTGGTTCAAGCATTTCAAATTAATACCTACCTACCTACCTGCCTGCCTGCCTTACCTTTCAGAGCCCAGGAGAGAGTTTCTGCTCCACCCCAAGGACTTTCACTAGGATCCTGATCACCTCCAGAAGGGTGGATCACTTCTGTTGGTCTGTGGATCATTCTGAGGGCAGACCAATCATCAGTAGCCCCTGTGATATCCCCTCAAACATCTCTACCTCTCTTTAACAGTAATCAGAATGGTACATAGGTCTTGATCAGGCACCTTATGAGAAAGACATTTTTGTTATCTCTTCTAGAGCAGAGATGAAAGACTGCATCCCAGTTCCTGCTTTCTTGGAGAAATGAGGTTAGAGGCCTCATGAGGCCCACTAAAGGTCCACCGGTGAGTCATCCTGAGAAATTCTTTGAGGGCAAAACAATGCTATTGCTTTTTTGATTCTAAGATGCGCTCCTTACCTTTTCTCAACTTCTGAGATTGTAGTTTTAAAAATTAATTTTAAAATTAGAATCTCATAAGACACTCCCTCTCAGAACATTCACATTCGTAGCAGTATTTTTCACAATAGGAAAGGGTGGAAACTACCCAAGTATCCACCAACTGATGAACAGATAAAAAAAATATGGTATATATTCCTACAATGGAAAATTATTCAGCAATAAAAATGAAGTATTGACACATGATATAGCAAGGGAGTCTATTTAATTGGCTTATTTCCTACTAGATGGCAAACTCGTGAGGATAGGGCTCATGCTCTATACCTGGCAACTGTCTAGTGAAAGTGTCCCCCACCTCTCAAAATTTGGTGGTATATAAAGATTGGGCATGAATATTCTAAATGATTTGTCTGTAGGAAAGCTGACAAGAGTTCAAGATAAAACAACTTCTTCCTATGGATGAGGGACTAGGTTGGAGGTGTTGTGTTTTTACAAGTAATTTAACATACTCGCTTTATGAGTCTGCTGGCTCATGGCTGTACCATAGTAAATAACATGCTGTTAAAGAGGGAGCACGGATGATTTCTCAGCCAAAAGCCAGTCCATTGAGTCCGCCAGATTAAGTTCTCTGAGGGCTGGAAAACCCAAATTCCATTCCTGGTCCCTCATTTCCTGAGCTGGAGGGAACCAGAGGAGCTGAGACTGCCCTGAGCCCAGGGTAAAGACATTTGGGGAAAGAGAGGGGAGAATCACAGGCATTTCAGTCTGTGGCTGAGTACAGGGAGTGGGTCATCGATTTTGGCTTTCTCCTGGGTCCACAGAATGTTTAGAATGATTTAACCTGGAGGGCCAACAGGATTCTTGGATGGGAGAAAGCAAAAGGAAAAGACATAAATAACAGTGTCAAGGGTGACCACACCAGGAACAAATTCATCTGCTAACCACTAAACAGCTTAACCAAAAAGAAAGCATCTGGGACTCGGCAGTTAACTAGTGGAGCTATGCCTACATTTACGAGTATGTAAAGACCTGCCAGGAAGGACTGTAGTAAGCACTGGGCATGGGGAGCAGAGGGGTGTGGAGGCACTACAGGGACTGGCACGCTTGGAAGACTGGCTGGGGGATGACCTTACCTTCCACCTCATGAAGACATAATCCCCATTCTTCAGTTCCTCATAATCAAAGTCATCTGAATTAAATGATTTTGCATACTGATAAAAAGCCAGAAACTTGCCCTGAAAGCAAAAAATAGAATATGAGAGGTGATCAACAGAGAGGCAGGTGTCAGAAACACCCTCCGTGCCCAGGTCCAATGCCTTTCCAAAGGCATGGCAGCTAGCAGGTGCAGCGCTGACCCAGAGCAGTGAAGGCTGAGTATTGGAAAGGGAGCCTTGGGTCAAGCCTTGTGAACTCAGATTGGACTCTGGGGCAGATACCTGGACTCCAGCCAGGTACCAAGGGGCCACGCCTGCCTAGTTAACTCGGCCTGAGGAAAAGGCTACAGGATGGCAATGGATACAATTCCAGGAGCCTTTTTTCAGAACCTTACCACAAATAGACAAAGCCAACAATGATTAGATCTCTATAAGTAATGAAAAAGAAAAAGATGCACGCAGAACAACTTAGAAACAGTTTGTAAGGCTATGGGGTGTGTGTGGAGGGGTGTTCCTGATGCAATATAGTGGTTTGGGGCCAGCTAGAAACTGGAATGGGTAATGGAGAGTCAAGCTAAAAGAGCGTAGACATAGGTTTTAACACTACTTAAAAAAAAAACCAAAAAACAAAAAAACAGGCAGCAAAGCAAATACATCCCAAGTAGATGCAGATTCAAGAAAAAATTATCACCTATGTCAGCTTGAGCTGTTCTCATTAAGATTTTTCCCCTTTTGCTTTTTTGTGTTTTTTAAATATTTTTAAATAATTGTGTATTAATTTCATAAGAAATTACCCAACATAAAAATTTAAGAAGGAGATATTAAGTCATCATTTGTCACACAGATTTTTTATTCTAAGTTGATTAAGATCTGGGAATTATGACTTTGTAGTACCCCACAATAGCAACTTTAAATATCCCTCAGGGAAATGTACAGGTAAAATACAATGTCTCTGGTTCTAGTTTACAATGGAAGAATGATATTACAGGTGAAGCTTATTAAACATTGTAAAGCACCATAAATGGAGGTGCAAGAAAGAGCTCCAAGAGTCCCACATGTATTTCTGGGATCCTGACATGGGAAGCTTTGGGAGATGCTGAGAGCTGCAGAGGAAGCTTGAACTGCAGGATAAGGAGACACTGCCTTGTACCACCACACCTCGCATGCCAGCACCAAGGGGGGGCCTTTTCAGCCCCTCTGTCACTCAAAATATTTCACTCCAGTCCAGCAAAGGCTAGCATACCAGATATTCTCCTATGGAAGTTGTGAGAAAATTAAGAGTCGCTTTCTAGATATTTAATTTATAGTTAACCTAGCCTAAAATGGAGTTTTCACTGGGCCTCAAAGACCTTGCTTTTTGCAGGATAAATTTGAAATGTGAAACAAAGTTGAGTAGGAGGAAGAACTTTCTCAATGGGACTATACAGGAGAGGATAAGAGTCATCTCATGAGGTAATGAGTCACTCAGGAAGGGCTGGCATCGGGCATGGTGGGACCAGGTGGCACGGAGCCCTCCAACTCTGCTTCTTTCAGCACCAACATGCACAACTGGGCTCCCCAACCTTTTGGAAACTTGGATCTTGTTCAGTCTCTCATATACAGACACAAAAGAAGTTTTAGTGTGTATTTGCTATATCAGTCAAAACATGTAGCTGACAAAAAAATGTTTGTAAAAGCTCGTTTAAATTTAAATTGAGGGCCTCCCCTGGTGGCACAGCGGTTGAGCGCTGGGTTGCGAAGCTGCCCGCAGCCTCTGCAGCTCCAGTTTGATCCCCGGCTGCTCCCCGGCCACCGGAGGAGGGTCCCGCATGGCGCACAGACCTCTCCTGCCGCCCGCTGCTCCCCTCAGCAGTGTACTTCAGTCCTTCTGCCTGTTCTGCTCCCCGCTCTGGCTCTGGTGAATCCTCTCACCCTCCCGCGCTTCTGACTGTACCCAATGCATGTATAAATAAATAAATAAATAAAATTAAAATAAATAAATAAATCTTTAAAAAAAATAAATTGAAATTGAAATTCAGTATTTAATAGATGGTCTTAGTTTCCTAAAGCAAGTCAGAAACATTAATAAGCAAAGCAGTTAATCTACAGTAAAATTAACTCAAAGATCTTAATATGATTTCGCTCACAGATTGTTGTGCTAGAATCAGGAGAGAGCTTAAACAACCAGATCTGAGTGGCAGTGGGAAGAATAAGGAATTCTAGAATCTTCATTAACAACACAATCATTTCTGGTTGGTAGAAAGGGGGAACACACTGAACTTCCTCAGTATTAAAAATTCATCATGACCATGATCAACTATACCCAAAGGCAACACTATGATGGACTGAGAAGTAAATCTTTGAAGACCTAAGACTTGTGCGACAACCACAGAAAAGACTGGAGGACAATAACTCTAAGTTGTCTTTTTTTAAAAAAAGGATTTATTTTTATTTATTTATGCATACAAGAACTGGGGTACAGGCCAGAGGGTAAGAGGATTCACCAGAGACAGAGTAGGGAGCATAACATGCAGATCTACTGAAATACACTGCTGAGGGGAGCAGCGGGTGAGACAGGAGAGTGCTCCTGTCTACTGCGCCATGTGCATTAGCTCCCTGGCCGGGGATCAAACTCATGCCACAGTGGCTGGTGACAGCTTGATAGCTCTGAGACTTTAACCCCCGTGGCACCAGCGAGGTCCAATATCTCTAAGTTATTATGAAATATCCGCATGCTCCCCACTTGACAGCTAAGGGGCTGGGTGAAGTGGAGACTGGATTTTTTAGTGGCGAGCCCTGATGGTACTTAACCCCTGTGTTATTAGATTGGATGAGAAGAAACCCTGTGGTTTTGCCCATACAGAAAAGCCAAAAGGTGGGGTAGGTATCCAGGACTGCATCTCCCAAGTATGGCGATGGACAAAGGTAGAAAGCACAGGAGGATAGGGATAACGTCCTACAAATTAAGTTCCTTAGTTATTCAGTGGTCCCTGGTGACCCAGAGATCAAAGATGTACTCACCCAGTGTTTCCGATCGACATCTTCATCCGCATCCCACTTTCGAGTTAAGAAAGGGTGTTTTTTGCTGATTATTTCTCCCTCAAAGAATGTCGTAAGGGTTGGATACTCCTATGGTAAAAACCCAAGTATCAAAACAAGATTGAACAGGAGTTTTAATCTTTTACAAAGAAGAACCAAATCAATACTTTCATGAAATCATCACACAGCTAACCACTCTGATGACTCTGCCACTTCACCCAACCTGGCCTGTTGTGTAGCATGGGACTTTCTAGAGATGCTGTTACACCAGCTCAGCAACTCCCAAGAAAAAGCACTGTAGTGACTATTCAGGCCTGCTTTATGGCCTAATGCTAGGGCATTCTGTTCTCTTAAAAGTGAGCTTTGAAATATTACAAATGTAGCCCACCACCAATTCATGATAACCTTGTCCCAACACTGTTGCTGGGCTCCTCAGACACAATGAAAAAGTAAAAGGGAGAAAATTTCCAAAATGGGAACCCAGTTTTTAAGGAGTAAAGCACATTATACTATTCTATTTTAGGGAGGACTAAAGAAAAAAATTCTGTGTAAATTAGCACCAGACCTGAGATTTTAAATTAAAAATTATTTATATTGATTTTCCCAGTTTTGAACCTTAATATTTTTTCAAAACTTCCACGAAAGATAAAAAAGTGATAAAGTGATCCTATTACAACACAAAAAACACTCATCTCTTAAATCACTTGTTTTTTGTTTTTTTTAGATTTATTTATTTATGCATATAAGAGCCGGGGTACAGGCCAGAGGTGTGGGGGTGAGAGGATTCACCAGAGACAGAGCAGGGAACAGAACAGGCAGATTAACCGAAATACACTGCTGAGGGGAGCAGCGGGCGAGACAGGAGAGGTCTGCTTCGCCATGTGGGTTGCTCCCTGGCGGGCCGGGGAAATCAAACTCGTGCTGCAGAGGCTGTGGATTGCTTCATAGTGTGGTGCTTAACTGCTTGCGCCACCAGGAAGGCCCAATCACTTGTTTTTTTAATGAATGATTCTATGTTGACTTGCCTCTAAAAATGTTTTAGGCAATTTATCAGGGTGACTACAGGGAAGTCACCAAAAAGACAAAATCTCTGATAAGACAAGAAATTCAAGCAGTCAACTAGAGCCAAACTCGAAGTAAATCAGAGTCACAAAAAAATGTCTGTCAGCACGAGGATGGACAACAGAAAACAAGTCTGTCAGGGAGAGGTAAAGTCAGCACCACCCCCAAACGGGCATGGGGCATGGCCTTCCGTGGGTCTGGCTATTTCTGGGTTTTTACATTGTCCAATCTACTCCCCTCACTGATTACTGGCTCACCAAAAACTGCTGGTGATGGATATGCCTTTCCATGTAGACCTGCCTCCTAGGGGATTAACTTTCAATTGGTCAGTAAGCTAATGAGAACTTCTGAAACCCATACACCTCATTTTGTAAATGAATAAACTAGCACTCTTGGTTACACATCAGTCTCTTGTGAATTTGGTTAATATCACCTGTCTTCCTGGTTCCAAGCAAGTCTAGCACAAACACAGTAGGGGCTTCCACACTTCCTATTGATGTCCTTCTTCCTACTGTGACTGGTTCAGAATTGAAAAGACAATGTTATTTGACACCCAGTCTTCACAAATCTTGGATTTCATTTCCAGAAGGTACACAAACTTTAAAGCTGTGCTTGCTTGTAAATGTGTGGCATCTATGAGGCAAATTATCTTCAACAGTTAATAATTTTCCATATTAAACATAGAGATTAATATTAAAACTCAAACCATTGAAATGGTTTTATTAAAATAAATTATATAGTTGGCATTTTACCAACCACAAATGGAAAAGCAGACAAAAACAGACAACTGTATTTTATAACAGGTATAAAGTCATTCAAGGAATTGTCACCCTTTTCTCTATTTTACTAATTTGCTACAGTGACTGTGCATTAGATTTAAAATTTTAAAAATTGTTCATTAATTGTACCATGCTGTGGTTATACTAAAAGTCAATGAATTGTACACAATACATGGGTGAATTGTATATCTTCCTAAGCTAACAGGAAAAAAAGGGGAACTTAAAAAGAATCCTGTGGCTTGAGCAAGACTTGGGAATGTTAGGAAACACATCAGCCTTTTTCTAACTAAATGCCATTTCGGTGCCACAAACAAGTCCACTGTTCACCAAGGAGTAGCCCCCTCTAGGGTAGGAGAGGGCTGTGTGTACATGAGGCCACTCCACATGCAGGTGGGAAAGACTGATAGGGGTGGGGTGGGGTGTTTGAGTTCTAAGGCTCCCCTGGACTGGCCTCAGTTGAAGGTTGTGCCAGCAGCCCCTCCACAAGGGAGCCTAGCTGTTGTTCAGGACCCAGAAGTGCTCCCCTTGGTGAGGCTTACTTGCTCCTGGTGGGAAGTTTACAGCCGTCAGCATTTCTATACTCTTCCAGGATTTTTAATGCTACTTACCATTTCCACGTGGCTTCCTATGACCAGAATGACTGGTTTTGGACCCATTATTTGCACTCACATTACAAAGTTTGCTGGTTTCTTTATGAAGTTAAATGTTTATGTTCTGCAATCAATTAACAAATATGTTTGGCTACCTAAGAATTGAGCATATTCTATTTACTATAGGTTTGTTTTCTACTACCACAAATTCAAAGGTTAAACTCTTAATTTTGCAATCATTTTCTACCCCTTCTTGATTGGTAAGTTCCCAGAGATGACCTCACAAGAAATTCTCAATCAAACTTCTCATAGGGAAAGAGGATAACCAGCTGAATGCAGGAGACTGAAATATTGTTCAAGTCTGAGGACAGTCTTGAAGTTAGTGTTCCCTATGTGTGTCACATCATAGCTACACTGACTCTGCATTATTTCCTCCTAGAGCATGTCCCCTGAGAGAGACAGCAGGTCTTTCTAATTCCAATTTTACAGAAGAGAAAACTGAAATGAAGTGAAATTAAAGGTCACGGGACCAGGAAGGGGCAGATCGAGGCAACCCCAACCCCTTTCTATCGCTTTAGCAGTATTTCTGAACACTGCCAGGCCAAAAGACAGTGAGAAATGATAAGGCCAATAGGACACCACAGCCAGGTCAAGTCTGGGCCCTCACTGCAGGGTTAGGCAGCCAGTCCTGTCACCTCCTTTTCCTCTTCCTGTTTACTCATGAGTGGGAAAAGGATGCTCTTTCTTGCTTTCTAAATTCCAGAGAGCTCTGAGGTCTATAAAGTGGGTTTAAACAAAGGAAAACACACTAACAAAGCAGCTACTTCTGTTAAAAACTGGATGATAAGTTTTCATTATTCCAATGACCTTAGGGGCTTAAAGACCTTCAAAGACATCAGCTCTCCAACAACTGATGCTTATCTTAGAAATGGTTAAACTTGGGCCTCCCCGGTGGCGCAGGTTGCGAAGCTGCCCGCGGCCTCTGCGGTGCGGGTTCAGTCCCCGGCTGCTCCCCGGCCACCGGAGGAGGGTCCCACAGGGCGCGCAGACCTCTCCTGCCGCCCGCTGCTCCCCTCAGCAGTGTACTTCGGTCCTTCTGCCTGCTCTGCTCCCCGCTCTGGCTCTGGTGAATTCTCTCACCCTCCCGCGCTTCTGACTGTACCCAGTGCATGTATAAACAAAACAAACAAACAAGCAAGCAAACAAATAAATAAAAACATGCCTCTATTAAAAAAAAAAAATGGTTAAACTTAAAATGACGATGGTAGCTGTATTCTTACCATATTTTTTTCTCAAAAAGAATTAAAGAGAAAATCAATAGTTGGTCACCATGTTAATATTATTTATAAACATTTGTGAATCTCTACATTTTCCAGCGTCATCTATCAAAACTGCATGTTCTATGTTCACCATAGAATACTTCAAAATTGTATGTTGAAGTATACAACAATATATAACATTACTTCAAAATAGGACACTTTAATTAAGACTCAAAGTGTTGAAATTGCCTGCTTTTAACAATCTGAGACTGCTGAACACACCGCCCACTTTCACGTTCTAGTTCATTTGAATGAGTGCTTACCTCAGTAAGGCCTTTAATCTTCAGGTACCCACAAAGGTAAGAGTTCCCCGTGTCCACATGCTAGAAAGAAAGGACACACATAGCCTGATTACAAATGGAAGAACCACTAGGGAACAAGCTGGGGGTGCTTAGTCACCATGCGCCTAGCAGAGGTGACTACAAGGCCAGTGATGAGAAGCAGGGAAGGCTGGAGGTCCTTGCATCTCCAGGGCTCACTGGCCTTTTGAGACCTCATGAGACCTCCCCACACCTGAATGTCTATTTGATGAAACAAACAGATCCTAGGACCCTTTCAACTTTCTTCAGTTAAGTATCTCGAGGCTAAAGAAACTTTACAGAACAGAGCCCACTCAAGCCTTCTTTCATTCATTTTTGCCCTCATCACAAGTTTCCCTTGGGTCTACGGACTGTCTCTTTGTGTTGGGTACTGGGCCTCTATTTCTACCTGTATACACGGACTTATCCCTAGCCTGGACTTCATTTGTTCTCCACTGTCTTTCTGACTTATTCTAGGTCCATGCTGCTTAATCTCTGGTCTAACAAGTCTACTCCTCTCATATTTATACTAAGCACGATTCCATACTATTTCCTTATGAAATAACCAGCACAGGGCCTCCCTGGTGGCACAAGGGGTTAAGTCTCAGCACTATGAAGCTATCTGCAGCCACCTCAGCACAAGTTCGATCCCCGGCCACAGAGCTGACCCACATGGCATAGCAGACCTCTCCTGTCTCACCTGCTGTTCCCCTCAGCAGTGTATCTCAGTCAATGCGCCTGTTCAACTCCCCACTCTGTCTCTGGTGAATCCTCTCACCCCCTCCTCCCCACCTCTGGCCTACACCCCAGCTCTTGTATGCATAAGTAAATAAAATCTTAAAAAAAAAAAAAAAGAAAGAAAGAACCAGAATACTCAGGAAAGGCATCTTATGAAGACTTATATGGTATAAACTTCAGTGTGAACCCAAATACTTCCCCCAAATTAGACTATACTTTCTGAGTACCTGCACTGCCCATTTCATATATGGATGCCTGTATTTCTTGGTGAAAAGAGTTACAGGTCTAAAATAAATAGGGGTACATATTGAGGTTTAGCAGCCACCAATTACTGGCTACTGAGATATTGCCAGATGCCTAACCAACAACCAACTGCCTACTTTTCCATGCTGTCAGGGTCTAGCTCTTATTCTTATCCCTACGCTGCTAGCAATACCAGGTTAACCCGAAGATTCTAAGGCAAACATGTGCCCCATCTGTTTGCCAGTCATCGGTTTAGGGGAGAGTAAATGAGTTCTGGCCATTTAGATGGGTGTATAAGTCTCCTAGGTGCTTCTGGGAGTCTAGCTTTTGAAGAGTTTCTTTTTCTTCCTCTAGTGGTGACAGCCAGTCCTGTGGCTGCCATCTAGAGACCACGAGGATAGATAGGTTGGGAAATGCCAAGGAGGAAAGCACTAAAAGATGGGGGAAATGAATCCCTGAAAGAGCCAATGTGGAAACAAGCTCCTCCCCAAACTTCTTAAAGATGATAGATTCACACATCTTTAAGCTATTTTGAAATGTATGGTCACTTGCAGCTGAAAGCATATTTCACCCAAATCCACAAAGACTCATCCAGAATAGGCCAATTTCCAGATTTCATGACAATTATATTCATATACAAAGTAGAACCCCTGGAATCAAAGCAGAACAAAGTACAGTGGAATGACAGCATGAGATTTTAATGTTAAGTGATGTCTCATTTTAAGAAACTAGAAATGTTTTATGGAAGTTATCATATTTGGGGACTCAATTATTCCCAATTACACCATAAATCACATTATAAGGCAAACCTTAAACACTGTAATGAATTTAGTCGACCAGATGAGGTCAGCACCGAAGCAAACAGGCTTCAATGAAGCTAAACTGCTCCCAGTTCGGTGCTAGTGACAAAGATATTCCATGTGAAAACTGCCAAAGCATTTTTAATATCCTCATCTGCTGACCTTGGCATTGGACGTTATCTAACACAGCTGATCCACACTAACATGGTTCAGCAAAGAACTTTTATTAAAGGGCACATACCTCTAACCTGAGGCTTTAAATTTCATGTATATACTACTCACTGAATTCAATGCAGTTTGGGATTTCATAGCTGCCAGAAAGGGGATCAGGTGGCAAGGGTACTTGCTAATAAGATTAAAAATTGAACTGCAAATTGGCTAACATTTTGCATGGATTATCACATGCTTAAGAATCAGAATTTCAGTTTGGCCTCCATTCAACCATGTGTTTCTTCCATTCTGCCCAAATTGATCTTGATGATGGTTGGTGAACTCAAATACACTACTACGCAGAGAACTTAAACCAAATGACAGGACAGCATCTCAATGAAAAAGATAACAAGGCAAATGTTTAGCATGAAGGTCTCACAGCACAGCTGTGTCCAACAGCTGCTCTTTTTAATACCCCTTTCACAGTGACCCCAGCCTTTGTTTTACTTTGGCTTCTTGGATGGCAGAGGAGAAACAGAGTAGTCACAGTAACAACAAGAAAGAGTAAGAAGCTACAAATCTTTAAATTTTTTTTAAAAAAGTACTCTAAAAAGTACACTGAGAGATGTACAGCATCATTAGTCATCAGGAAAATTCAAGTCAAAACCACAATGCGATACTGTATCACACCCACTAGAATGGCGACAATCAATGGACAATCAAAAGACAGATAATAGCAAGTGTTAATGAGGATGTAGAGAAAGTGGACCCCCCATGCATTGGTGGTGGAAATGAAAGTAGTGCAGCAGCCACTCTGGAAATCAGTCTGGCTATTCCTCAAATGTTAAACTAAACTCAGAATTGAGTGACCCAGCAAGTCTACTCCTAGGAACTACCCAAAAGAAATGAAGACATATCCACCTAAAAACTTGTACATGAATGTTCATAGCAATATTATTCACAATAGCCAAAAAGTGGAAATGACCTAAATATCCATCAATTCATCCACAGATGATCAAAATGTTGTCTAGCCACATCATGGACTATTATACAACAATGAAAAGGAATAAAGTACCAACAAAAGCTATAATATGGATGAACCGTGGAAACATGTTCAGTGAAAGAAGCTAAGTCACATATTGTATGATTCCATTTATGTGAAATGTCCAGAATAAGCAACTTTTAGAAAAAATTAGGGGTTGCCTAGGCTTGAAGGAGGTGATGACTATATAGGACTTCTTTACAGAGTGATGAAAATGTACTAAAATTAGACTGCAGTGATGGCTATACAATTCTGAATATACTAAAAATGGTTGAATTGTATACCTTAAGTGGATCAATTGTATGGTATGTGACTTATATTGCAATAAAGTTACTAGAAACAAAGAAAACAAAGAAGAAAGAGACTGAGTTATAAGAGGCAAAAATATTCTAAGAAGGCTGAGTCCCAGAAACTAGTCCTGGCTGAAAAACCAGATGATGGGGCAATTCACATGCCAATGACTCGTCTCAATGCTGGACAAGCAACTCACCAGGCCAGATGTAGAGCAGCATTCTTTGGTATGACCACCGCCCCCACACCATCAGACATTCTACTCAAGTGGCTCCCAGTCATCAGCCAGGTATCTGCTCTGGGCTGTCCTAAGGCCTAGTCATTACACACCAATTCAGTCACTGCTTCCACTGTGCACAAGGAAACTAGTGCCTGTGCCTGACAGGGATTCAGAAACAACACACTAATGGCAGAAGAGAGGACTTGCTGCAGTAACCAAAGCAGGCTTCTCTTAGGTACTTAACTTCCCTGCCATATCAGAAGCCATCAAATTAAACAATGGGCATAAATTCAAGATCATATCCAACATCATGACCCATACCAGGGATCTTACATGCAAAATTTTTATGATTAGCTGCTCTCACTCACAGCCTATACCCTCGATATTAAATTCCCATATTTTAAGTAAAAGAAAAGGGTGGGTCACCACATTAGGCATATAATTATCAAGACTGAAATGCCTCAGTCACAATAGTTTTTCCATTATAGTAACTAAAAAAATAAGAAAAAAGTAAAACAAAAGGAACAATTGCAATAAATATCACGGCTCATGACAAAAAAGTATACAGACTAAAGATACAATTAACATGAAGATATAGTTTTCCCCTCCAAAAAAGGAAAAACTTATTCCCACAAAATAGTAAGAAAAAAAAGAGGTTGATGAGGGCCTCCCCTGGTGGCGCAGCAGTTGAGCGCTGGGTTGGGAGGCTCGATACCCGGCCACCAGATACCCGGCCACCAGCCACAGGTGAGGGTCCCACCAAAAAAAAAAAAAAAAAAGGAGGTTGATGAATGCTCTGCAGGTAGCAAAGAAAGTGTACTTCCATTGTCTTTTGGCTGGGAGACCTCCTTGTTCACAAGAACATTTAAAATTTCCAACAGGCGAGCATAAGGAAAAGGGACAGGCTACATTCTACCTCACACATGGAGGAGTACACGAGGACCTCAAAGCTTCTACGAGATCTTTTGAGGGGACAGATGTTTGGAGGGGCTTTGGGGAAAAGCGTAGGAAGTGGGATCTCTGACTAAGGACAAAGGGACAAGAGATGGAAAGTGGGTTCTGAGGCAGATAAAAGTACCCTACAGAGGAGGAACAATTTCATAAGGAAGGGAGATAAAAGGAGTATTAACCACTGCTGGCGTACTTTGACTGGAGGAAAAAAGTCAGGTGTAAAACCCTTTGCATGAGAGGGTTAAGGTAAAGGAGAGGGCCAGGGCAGGTAAAGATGTGGTTCCAAAGCTATAGCTGCAGTTCCAAAGCCAAGCAGGTACTCTGAAATTCAGGTCAAATGGGGGTGGATGGCCATGGGGAGGAAATACCAGTGTGAGAAATAAAACTGCGTGCATTAGATTTCTCAGTACATGGGTATTGGAGACTGGAAGGAAGCCCTGGCTGTAAGGTGAAAGTTAGCAAAATGTAAAGAGTGTCCCCTGGAGCCAGGAAGGAGGAAGATTAAGTGGGGTGGGGATGTCTGTGTAAAGAGGCCAGGGAGACTGGGAGCAGCCTAGAAATGGCCAGAGAAGGGGGGAGGGAGTATATGAAGTCGGGGCAGGAAGCCAGGTGGTGTGGGAGTTGGGTGCTTGGGTCAGGAAGAGACCAGAGCAGTGGGGGCTTCCTGGAGGCAAGATCCTAACAGACTGAGGAGCCCCACCCAGCAGTGCAGGGGATGCGAGAGTGCCTTGTGTGGGGTGGGGCTAGGCCAGGGCCAGGAATCAGTTATGGGCTGGGGGCTGTCAGGCTCAGGGGAGGATGGAGAGAAGGTGCTCCCAGTTGTGACGATGATTAAGTTCTTCCAAGGAGGAAACCCTAGGAGGAGGAGGGCCCCAGGACCTAAGGTTCCTGGGAAAGGTGGGGAGGAGACATAGCTCAGGTCTGGGAGTATCTGACATAGGCTCCGCCACGGGGAAGAATCGGGCGAAATCAATGGAGTGTTCAAAACGGCCTGAGAGGGACTGGAGGGAAGACTGATCTAGGGGTGACAGTTCATGGGGTGGAGGGACCCGGGTCTGAGAGGGGCCAGTCAAGGGGGGTTCCGGTCCCGGGCTTCAAGTCGAGGAGAGTGTTCAGGATCTACCAGGAGCTGCTCACGACAAGCTCCAGGTGTGAAGGGGCAGGTCAGGATTGGGGTTCGGAGAGTGTGAGACACCAGCTGGGGAGGTCCCGGGGGTGAAGCGCCGGGAGCAGGAGGCCCGGCGGCGAGGGCCTGGTCCGCGGCTGCAGGCTCGAGGAGCCGGGGCCGGGCACGGCCCGTGAGCGCCGCGAGGAGGCCCTCGGGCCCCGGCCCGACCCGGCCGGCGCTCACCTGCAGCACCACCTCTACGTCGTACGAGTTCCCCTTGCTCTTCTGGTGGCCGCGGAACTTGGAGCCGCTGTAGAGCAGGCTGGTGGCCACGCCGGGCTGCTGGGTGTTGATGGGCGGCGGCGGGATAAGCGAGGCCGCCGAGGCCGCCGAGGCACCGGCCGGAAGGGGACACTCGGTGCGTACCGGCATCGCGGGGTCCCCCGGAGCCAGGGCTGGGGGGAGGGGAGAGGAACCGCCGCCGCCGCGCGGGAGCCGAGGAGGGTGGCAGGGAGGGAGGGGCCGTGGCGCGCACGCGCGAGGTGGGGGCGGGAGGGGGGACCACCCGCCCGCTGCTTGCGGACCTAGCGCTCGGGCCGCCACCGGGACCCGGGGACCTGAGAGCAGGGCCTCCCCGTCTTGAGCTGAGTCCCCTCCCCACTTGCCCTCGCACACACACCACCCCTTCCGATTGGCCCGGGAGTGCGGGCGGGGTGGGAGCAGGCTCACGCGGCGCTTCCACCCATTGGCGGGCAGAGAAAACACGTGGCGGGGTGCGCGAGGAGCCTTCTGGGATTTGTAGTCTTCCTGAGGCGCGCCGTTGAGTGGGCGGGGCGAGGTGCGTTTGTGATGCTGATTGACGGGGGGTGTGCGCCAGAGGTGCGCGGGAGCGACGGCGCGCCGTTGGTGTCATGTGGAAGATGGCGGCGCTCAGGGGAGGCTGAGGGCCCCCGGGGAGGCGGTGAGAGGGTTCCGTACAGCCCGACCGTGCGGCTTGGTGATCCTTTCGCTGTGTGTTTTCCTGTTAGATTTGAAGCCGCTCGTCCTCCTAAGCCATCGGCTACTATGTGGAGAAACTGTCTCCGGCTGCGGGACCGGGGGCGCCGCCTCCTGAACCGGCCCCCGGGTGGCCCCACCGCCTCGGTGGGGCTGGGGCCAAACCCCCAACCCCCGACCCGGGCCTACGCTCCACCGACAGGTGAGGGAGGCCAGGCATGTTACCTTTCGACTAGGGACCGAGCCGGGCTAAGGTGGGCTGAGGGATTCAGTCATGCAGCGCGCTATAGCCGAGGCAAGACTCAGGCTTCCGAGGTTATGCACGTCAGTCAGGTCAGTTGCAGACCCGGTAAGAAACCCAGACAAATTAGGGACCACCCGAGGGCACTGCGCGAGATAGTAGTTGACATTTGACACGTGTGGCTTTTCTCAAACTTTGTAGGCTTTCATCCCTTTAAGAAGGAAAGCAGATGTCATGCTTATTTTCGGATAAGGAATGTCGGGTTCTGGGTCAGGACTACGTCAAGGTCACAGAGCAGACTCTGTGAGAAGTTTGTGGAGGGCAAAGATCCGTCTGTTCGACTGCTTTCGGTGTTCCCAGAACCAGACATAGAAGGGGCCTAAAACCTGGGTTTTGTGTTTTCCATCCTGACCGCTTCACCCCCAGGTTTCCTGACTCAGCCTCCTACTGCCTTACCGTAACCCCTGTCATCTCTGGTAAGAAGTTGACACCCTCTGTCTCCTTCCTCCACAACCGACTCTGATGGAGCCTAGAAGATGAAGCCAAATGGCTTCTGGGAGAGGTTTTCGGGTTAAAATGGGAGTTGCTAAAAAAAAAAAAAAAAAAAAAAAAATGGGAGTTGCTCACTTAAATGAGTAAAGAACTATAACACTCTCATTCCACTCATTTAACTTTTCTGTGCTAAGGACAGGGGGCTCCGTTGTCTTTATGACACACACATGGTCTTCACCTGGCTGATGTTCACTGTCAAGTGCACAAGGTTATAAAATCCTATAAATGGTTGTTTATACTATCCTGTGGTAAGAGTGATAAAAGAAGTACAAAAAAACTGAAAACACAAACATTAACTTCCATCTTGGGGGTGTTTGGGGTCTAGAAGGATCTTGATGAAAGGATATTTATTTTATTTTTATTTTTTTTTTAAATAATAAATTTTATTTTTATATTCCCCCATACAATTGCAAACGCCCCATTCTGACTCCAATCCTTCCCCTCCCGCCCCCCACCCCCCAAAAAGTGTCTCTGGTTCATAGTTTTTTGTTGATTTTGATTTTCACTTTCTTATATTCATTTTCCTGGTCCCTTATTTAAGTTTTCTAGATTCCTGCTATGAGTGAGACCATCCGGTATTTTTCTTTTTCTTTTTGGCTTATTTCGCTGAGCATGGTCCCTTCCAGAGCCATCCATGTTGCTGCAAATTGCATGTGTTTATCTTTTTTGAATGCTGAGTAATATTCCATGGTATATATGTACCACATCTTCTTGATCCAGTCATCTATTTTTGGGCATTTGGGTTGTTTCCAAAGCTTAGCTATTGTAAACAGTGCTGCTATAAACATAGGGGTGCAGGTGCTCTTTGGAATTGATGTTTCTGTGTCCTTTGGGTAAATACCTAGGAGTGGAATTGCTGGATCATATGGAAGCTCTATGTTTAGTAGGTCCAGAAATCTCCACACAGCTCTCCATAGTGGTTGGACCAGTTTGCACTCCCACCAACAGTGCAGAAGAGTTCCTTTTTCTCCACACCCTCGCCAACATTTGTTGTTGCTAGTTTTTTTAATATGTGCCATTCTCACTGGTGTGAGATGGTATCTCATGGTAGTTTTGATTTGCATTTCCCTGATGACAAGTGATGTTGAACATATTTTCATATGCCTGTTGGCCATTTGCATTTCCTCTTCAGAGAAGTTTCTTTTTAGCTCTTCTGCCCATTTTTTGACTGGATTATTTTCTTTGTTGTTGCTAAGTCTCATCAGCTCTTTGCAGATTTTTGTGATCAGTCCTTTATCATTAGTGTTGGGTGCAAAAATGTTCTCCCAGTTGGTGGGGTTTCTCTTTGTTTTTGTTATTGTCTCTTTTGCTGTGCAGAAGCTCTTTAATTTGATGTAGTCCCAGCTGTTTATCTTTGCCTTCACTATCACTACTTTGGGTGATGTGTCTGTAAAGATGTCTTTGATGTGCAAATCCCGTAGTGTTTCGCCTATATTTCCTTCTATGTATTTTATGGTTTCAGGTCTTATGTCTAGTTCTTTAATCCATTTTGAGTTGATTTTTGTGTATGGTGTGAGGTAGTGGTCAAGCTTCATTCTTTTGCATGTAGCGACCCAGTTTTCCCAGCACCATTTATTGAACAAACTTTCTTTGCTCCAATGCATAGTCTTTGCTCCTTTGTCAAAGATTAGTTGACCATAAATCTGTGGGTTTATTTCTGGATGATGAAAGGATATTTAAACTGAGTCTTGATAGATGAATAGGAATAGAGTCTCTTGGAAGTATCTGGCACATGATAGTAGTCAAATATAAAAAAAATTAATGAATGAAGGAATGAGGCGCAGTGGGAGGGAGGCACATGAACCCACTTTATGACTGCTGGCTGTGTGATTCTGTTGAGTCTTTGGAATGCTGAAAGACTAAACCCTAAATGCTAAAAGACTGAAGTCTTACAGTGAAGTCTTTGATTGGCAGGCTGATTGAACTTGGATCTTTAGGAATAGTCGGCCATTGAAGGTTACCAGAAGGAGAAGAGGTCAGAAAGGAGTAATCTGGGGTTGGAGATACCACAACAAAGAGACCTGTGGTCCACTTCTCACCTGCTTGGAGAAGAAGTGTACAGAATGTCTGCAAATGCCTTGTGAAGTCCAGGCTGCAGGTTTTGTCCCTTTTGTTTGCAAATTGTCGACTGGATAAGTCATTTTGCCTCTCAAGAGTCTGCCACATCTGCTCTATCTCCCTCATTGAGTGATTGTGCTGGATTGAGGGAGATTCTATAGATAAGGCATTTATCCTGTGACCTGTTAGTAAATAAATTTTAATTGGCACTCAGCCACACTCATTTACATATTGTCTAGGGCTGCTGTTATTATAGTGATAGAATTACTTAGTTGTAACAGAGGTTATATGACCTGAAATAATTTACTGTCTCACTACAGAAAAACATTTGCTAGTCCCTGCTCACTGCTGGAGAAACCTGGGAAACAGTGTAGTCATTTAGCCCATTTACTTTAGTTGCTATAGCAGAAACTTTTAGCCTGAAGGATTTTTTTACTGAGATAAAATTCGCTTACAACTATTTAACATGTACAATTCAGTGGTTTTTATTATATTCAACATTGTGTACCATCACCAAAATCAATTATAGAACATGTTTATTACCCCAAAAAGAAACCTGGTAACCTTTAGCTGTCGTACTCCCTTCCTTACCCTTGACCCTCTAGCCTTCTACAACCACTGCTTTACTTTCTCTGTAGATTTTCCTGTTTGGACCTTTCATATAAATAGAATGTAATTTTTTTTTTTTACTGACTTTCTTTACTTAGCATGTTTCCAAAGTTTATCCATGTTGCAGTATATGTCAGTACTTCATTTTTTTATTGCTGAATAATATTCTGTTGTATAGATATACCACATCCTATTTATCCATCCATTGATGACTATTTGGGTTATTGGCATCTTTTGGGTATTCTGAATAATGCTGCTATAAACATTTGTGTACTAATTTTTATGTGGGCCTATGTTTTCATTTTTCATATATCTAAGGGTAGGATTAATGGGTCAAATGGTAACTTTTTAACTTTTTGAAACACTGCCAAATTGCTTTCCAAGGTGGCTGCAGTTTTACTTTTCCACTAGCAGTGTGTGAAGGTTCCAATTCCTCCATATTCTTACTAGCACTTGTTACTATTGTCTTTTTGAGTAATGCCTCCTAAATGGGTAAGAAGTATTGTCTCCTGGTTTTGATTTGCATTTCCCTGATGATGAGTGAGGTCGAGGCTTTTTGGTGTGCTTATTGGGGATTTGTCCATTTTCTTTGGAGAAATGTCTAATAGACATTTGACCTTTTTTAAATTTGGTTATTCATCTTTTTATTATTGTTATAAGAGTTCTTTATATACGTGACCCGAAGAACTTGGGTACCTGAAAACTGTTGGTCTGAGTTGCCATAGGAATAGGAGGAATGCCCTCGGCTAGAATTTCAGCTTTAAGGTTTAAGGTCCACCAGATGGCACTGTTTAAAAAGATAAAGGTGCTGGGACTACTCTGAGAAGCTGCTTCCTCTGTTTAATGCACTGTGGGAATTGTAGTTCAGAGGCTTTGAGTCTTTCAAAGCTGCGACCAGCCCGGAAATTGAAACTGGTAGAAAGAACATGCAGGATTCTTTACATCTGGAACAGAAGCAGTAGTGTAGGGGGAAATAATACAGAAAACAGCTGGTTTCTTTATATGGATTGAAGCACCATCTCAGGGAAAAGAGACCCAATGGACATTAATTTCCAATTCAGCACTCTTCACATGTGCAGGTTTTTTTAAGTTCTTCTTTGCTTAGATAGCCTGTTTTCTTATGACTGGCTTTTAAAATTCAACACTTTTTTTTTTTAACCTGGGCATTTCTTTCTTTCTTTTTTAACAGAATGCTTCACAAATTAGTATACCATCCTTGCACAGGAGCCATGCTAATTTCATCTGTATCCTTCTGATTTTAGTATATATGCTGTCAAAGCAAGCTCTCACATACTCATTTCTGTATCTACATAGTCCACAAAATTGTCCCTTAAAAGGCACTGAGTATGTTTTTGCCACGGAAATATGTTCTGTAAAGGAAGTGACTCATAGTCAAAATAGACCCCTATCCTGCAAGGCTAGACTGTGTCTTTTGTCTTTAAAGGTGGTGTTTTTTTGCTGTCAGCTAACCCTATATTCACTAAGAACATGGGGACTTCATGGACTCTCAGTGGTCTTGTAATTTGACCCAGGTAAAGAATCTTCACCTTTTGACATTGTTGAGAAACATGGATCCCACCAAATAAACCTCCAGATCCTGTTCTTGTTTGCCTATGTGAACCCCTTTCTTGGTGACCTACTTGACCCCCTTCACCTGATCTGGCCTCCACAGATGTCTCTGGATATCTCTGGCCATTCTCTGCTACATGCCTGTGGTCTTGTTCTTCTGGCTATCTTTCTGTTTTTACAAAACTCTAGTTTCTTAAGGCCCATGAGCTTTTTGTAAGCAAGTTCTTCTGCTGGAAACTGCTACATACTTTCCAAAAATGAATCCCCCAATACAGGTGAACTAACTCCTGTCTCTTGAAGTCTCAGGTGGAAACAAACTGCTTGAAGTTGTTCCTTTAGCTCATGATGAGACTGGGCTTCCCTGGCATGTGTTTCCAGTGTTTCTTGTACTTGACCATCACATTCTCTTTATTATTTGACTGGTTTAGTGTCTGTCTTCCACAGGGAACACTAAGTGCCTTAACAGCGGGAGTGAGTTTTGTGTCCCAGCTACTACTCCTGAAATGGGATCTGTACTCACCAAAGTTTGTCCCAAAACTTCCCAGACTGAAGTTTGCATCTCCACACATCTACCCCTTTCAGGAGAGGATTTATACTGCCCGTGCTTGACCCTGCTTTTCTGCTCCTTTTGCTGGCTGTCAACTCTTTATCTGCAGGTTCTGTCCTGTTTTGAGAGATTTTTGGTTGTCATTTCGTTGCCTCTCCATCCATCCCACTCTCTTCCAGTTTTTTCTTCTTAATCAGATACAAAAGTGGGCCTGACTGAACAGAGGGGTCAAGACCTGATCGGCAAAGCGGAGGGAGGAAAAACCCCCTTTGTGGGAAGTCCCACAATTCTGCCACCTCTGGAAGGTCCAGTCCTCTGCTGTCAGTTTCTTCCCCAAGTCCATTCCTCCAGGATTCTTGGGTACATTTTCCTGAGGCTGTGTGTGGAAGCATGCTAGGATGTTCTCTGCTGGCACTTACTGCTGCTGGGTCAGAACCTTCCATGGTGGTGAGTCAGAGCTTTAGAGTTCTTCCCACTTCCTGCCTGACCTGACATTACACATGCTGCCCAATCACAGCATTAGAGAACATGCTGGATTGTGTCTGAGGCTTCTAAACCTGTCTCACAGCAAATAAATGATTGGGACGACATGTGGAATAGGAATATTTAGAAGTCCAAGGATGATATGAACCTCTTGTTTTGGTGTCATATGTGTGAAAGAACCAATACTATGACTTCAGATGGGTGGTAAATTGTGCCATTATATAATAACATCATGGTGGCCACAGTTGGTCACTTTAAAAAAAATTGAACTCTGTGAAGACAGGGATTTTTGTCTGTTTTATTCATTGTTTTATACCAAGTACATAGAATAGTACCTGGCACAGAGTAGACCCACAAATATTTTTTTGTGGGAAAAAAGTTTGGATCTTAATTAAGTGCAGCTGTAGAAGTGCAGTTTGGGGATCTCGTGTGCATTAATGATAGCAAGTGAGATTTGTGGAACAAACATCATGTGGGAGACATTAAGATAGAATGTTTGGCCTAATACCTTCTCTCCATCCCCTCCTACCCCAGTGTACACATACCAAGTTCTCTTAATTTTCAGTCTGAATTAGTAAAATTTTAACTTAAACTTGTTTTAAAAGCACTAAAAACTAATGAATTTCCTGTTCATCTACATGCTGCATCATTCATTGAGTAACTTCAGTCAGGGATGCTGAAGACTTTTAGTACCTAATGATCTATGAAAGGATGAGTGAATGAATGAAGATTCTGTGTTTATCATAGATGATGCAGACTGGGTTATGGTTTATAGCTTCCAAAATCTGACCTATTTGTTTTTTATTAGTTGAAGGAATTTTCATAATCCCTTATGGGGCTCCCTTGGTTTTAAATCCCTTCAGAGAAAAAAAGTAAGAGAGACTATGTCTACATTTTCATTTAAGATTTTATTCAAGTTATTTTCAAAAGAAAACATAGGACACAGATTTTCCTCCTTCTTAAAGGAAATGTTTGGAGTTCCTGTTGAATGCACAAGCAAGCTAGTTAATTAGGCTAATTAATTGGATAGAGGGGATGGGAAATGCTCCTGGGATCTCTACTTACTGCCTGTGCACCACACACGTGCATGCTCACACTGGCTTTCCACTCATGCCTTCTTAGAGGAGTCAGAGGCTGGCCCAAGTGGATCTCTGGCTTTAGCACATTCAGATGTCTCTAGATTTGCACGCATTGTGCTGGCGTGTGGCAGTGTGATGGTGGGGCATCACTCGGGGAGGGTGTGCAGAAGTTACAGCGGAAGGTGCTGGCTCAGACAATCTGCAGCTTTTTTGACGTTGCATTAGACTACCCCTGGGCTTGAGGCTGGTGGGGGCATGACCAGCATGTCCTGTTCCTTCCTCGTCCTTGGAGAGTGAGTGGCCTCCTCCTCCCAGCTTTAATCAGAAGCCGCTGATTATGCTGTGTAGATTAGGGCAGACCTTGAATGGTGATATGAAAATCAAGCCAATCAATCAGCGTTAGCAGTAATGATACAAGCTGGTCTTGTCTTTTACTGAGCTGTCTTGACATTATTTTAAACTGCCTTTTTGAAAAATCTTTCTCACAGAAAGGAAGAGGTTTTATCAGAATGTCAGCATCACACAAGGTGAAGGTGAGTGTCTGAAATTTTGACTCCCTCTTTTACTTTTTCTTTTTTTTCCTCTGAATGGGTAGAAACATTTTTCATTTCCAGCCAGTTCAGTGGTGAGGTAACCCTTTGCGCTTTTGTCGGATATGTTTCTGAAATCCCTCCGTGAAGGGACTCAGAGTTGTCTTTGTACCCATTCAGGTAGCTAAATATAGGAATGGTCACTCGATTCCACTTAACAATCCCTGAGAGGTTTTCATTTGATCTTTCAAGGTGGCTTTGAGATAAACCTGGACCACAGGAAGCTGAAAACTCCCCAAGCCAAGCTCTTTACCGTCCCCAGTGAGGCCCTGGCCATCGCAGTGGCCACTGAATGGGACTCCCAGCAGGACACGATCAAGTTCTACACCATGCATCTGGTAACAAGTTCACATGCCTACATCCTAATGCCCGCCACAGACTTCCTAGAACCCCTGCCAAAAACAGAGACTCCCTTCCAAATTCCAGAAGGGTCCTCAGGGGTGGGTTTCCGTCTCCTTGAATGAATGTGGCCAGTGTTCCCCCTCATTGCCTGGCCTCCCTTAGTTGCCCTGCTGAGAACACCTTGCTGATGGCTGGTTTGTCCTCTGGCCTCAGGACAGTTGTCACCTTCCCTGATGGCTTAGCTCTCTTATTTTCTATCAGACAGCTGCCTTTTGTCTCAGCATTTATATAGATTGTAATGGTTTTACTATCGTACACTTATTGTCTCTCTCTCCTTCACTACCTTGTAAATGCAGAAGGACAGGGCCATGTCTGTCTTGCTCATCAGCACATAGTCCCGTTAAAGAGGTTTAGCTGATTGAGTGCAAGGACCCATAGGGGCAGGTAGTTGGGGTGAGGATGACTGGCTGTGAAGCCAGCCCCCCAGCCACACTCACTGAGGAACTATAGTCTGCAAAAGGGGTTAGCTACACTCTTTGAATCCAGCTTCTAAAAGTTAACCTTGGGCAAATTACTACCCTTCCCAGCCCCATATTCCCCAACTGCGAGAGATGCATAATAACAACACCCACCTCATGGAGTAGTGGTCAACATGGGATATGATGATGCATAGAAAGTCCTTGGTATGGTCGTTGGCACAGAGCAACACTATCTATATTGTAGTTAGTGCTGTCATGCTGGTCACCACTGCACTCAGCCTTGATATACAGACCCAGGCACACTTCCTCAACTCCTGCTGCAGTACCAGTCTGCTCCTTTGACTCTGATGAGGGTGATCAGGGCTACGGATGAGTCACCTAACCAACCTGCTATTGATAAGGCAAATCTGGAAAAATAATCCCTCTCTTGCTTTGGCTGATTTGTTCCCCTGCCTTCTAAGGTGTCGTGGGAGCCAGCTTGTAATCTTCAGTAATATCTGCTTTCCAATAATGCTTATGTTCTTAATTCCTGAATTTGACCTCTCTGGGTCTCAGTTTCCACATCTCCGAAATGGGTATAATAATAGTACCTACTCAAAGGGTAAATACAGCAGAAGCAGGTAGTGAAGAACATGAGACCTTGGGGAACTGCATTAATCCTAGGGTTACCCTTAGATCCCCAGCACTCTTACAGTGTCTGGCACAAAACCTGACTGTAGTAAACGCTCAGTAGATGTGCTGCTGCTGAGGTGGAATTGCCAGTCCTGGGTGGTACTGTCTGCTTCTTCCTAAAGCTGTGGCTTTGCTGCAGTGTTCTCAGGAAATCAGTGCTTTTGCCTGAGTCCAGCAGGTGGTGACGGGGTTCTGTTTTTTGATTCAGACCACATTGTGTAACACATCTCTAGACAACCCAACCCAGCGAAACAAGGACCAGCTGATCCGGGCGGCTGTGAAGTTTCTGGACACTGACACCATCTGGTAATTGACATTTAGATGGTCATTCCCCTTGGGCTGAGCAAATCCCTTGGGCTCTTTTGCCTCATTTGTCCAGACAGTTATCAGGCAGACCCTTTCCTTTATCTTGAAGGGCAGGAAAGGCAGTCTACTTGACATCAGCATTTAGCTGCTCTGAGATCTCCAGAAGGGAGGACTCCCAGGCTGCATCATTGCAGTCCAGTAGCTATCCCTTGGTCTGGGGTGGAATGGTGGTGTGTGCAGCCCTTGTAGGCTCCGGGACCAAGAGGGTCATTGCCAGCCCCTAATGGGCCTCTGCTCACCACCACAGTCTCATGTAGGCATCCCTGTCATTACTTGTCAGCTTGGACAATGAGGTAGTCAGATATTGATATTCAGGAGCTGACTTCCTCTGCTGCTGAGTGTGTAACTCATGACCTCTCTTCATACCAGAATGTGGCTTTCTAAGTGCCCCCCGGGTTCCCTCAGCTGACTCCATCTTTGTGTCTTTTGGTCAAAACAAATGGTGTAGCCTGTCGTCACATGGCATCGGGCATCCATGCATGAGGTGCTATCAGGTAGCATGGTCTGTGGCAGGGACATGGTGTCTTAGGAGTGAGGAGAGGTAGGGATGCAGTGGCTGAGCTTCTGACACAGCATGCCTCTTTGTTCAGCATCTGGGGTCAGGTGGGCGGGGATCCTTGGGTATAGTATTGTTTAGAATGGCACTTATATAGTGCTGCAAGCCTTGACCTGTCAAATAATTGGGGACTTTTAGTATAATGATTCTCAAATTCAAGCCTCCATTAGAATCCCGTGGGACTTAACAAATTGCTGCTCCCACCCCCAGAGATTCTGATTTTCATAGCTAGGGGTGGGAATTTGTATTTTTAACAAGTTCCCACGCAGTGTTCTTGGGTGGCCCCAAGGCCACAGTTTGAGAACCACTGCTTTAGGGAAAGACTTGTGGGGCTGGGTTGGGAGGAGGATTTTTTTGCTGTTGCTTTTTGTGTTTTTCCATTGTCTGTCACTGAATGAAGGAATTGTACTTTTTTATTAATGAAGGTGATTTTTGCAATGAATTAGCTACAGGGTGGAAGAGCCAGAGACATTAGTGGAACTTCAAAAGAACGAGTGGGATCCAGTCATAGAATGGGCTGAGAAAAGGTAAGGTGCACAGTCTGTTGGGGAGGCTCTTGGGATAAGGGGGCCGTATTGGACAACCAGAGCCCTAGCTTGCTAGTGAGCTTCCTGAGTTCAGAGTCCCCTTGGGATTCAGTCTCTCCCAGGTGTTGAGGGATAGGGCCACCTTGGAAAAAGTGCTCCTCAGTGGCATTTCAGGACCATGCACTGAGTACCTGCTGTCAGTACACATGGTGTTGAGAGTAGGCACAAAGCCCTATTTCTGCCACAATTGGCTGTATGTGACCTTGGTCTAGTGACTCCACCTCTCTGAGCTTCAACATCCTCGTCTGTGAGTGGGGCTCATAACCCCTACATAGCAGGTTATGAAGTGGTGCTTAGCATCCTGCCTGTGCACAGTAAATGCTTACATTTTGGCAGTTACTGTTATAGGACAGGGAGAGGGGCAGCCCAAACCCCACAAACCTGCCTATTCTACATGGGTTCTGCCATCCGCCGCATCAACACAAAACATAGGAGACTTTAATGGGAAGGAACTTTAATACAACTAGGAAACAATACAGGTAAGGCAAAGAGTCTAGTTTCTAAATGAAGCACCCAAAGTTACCCGTCCCCTCGTGGGTGAAAGTCCATCCAAATGGGATTGGCCCAGAGCAAGGCCCCAAAGCTGCTAAAAGTCTAAAGCATCTTCCAGTGGGGACCCACAGAAAAGGGTCACAAACAACTGGACAAGCCCGGAAGGAAAAGAGCAAAATCAACATCAAGATAAAAGCTGCCATTGTCACCTCCCCACGGGTCTCACCCACATCTGTGTCACCCAGTCCATGACCAAAAGACAAGCGCAGTTTCTTCACGTGTCTCTAGGCTCCATGCGCCTCTTCCAGGTCTCCTGGCTCCATCCTGCTTCCTTCCTCAGTCTCTTCTGCAGCTTCTCCTCTTCCTGCTCAGCTCCACCCTCCCTTGGGTGGGGCAGGGAACCTCCCCCTTTCCTGGGGACCACCCTGTTACATTACCTTCTTTATCATTGTCACAGTTGCTACATTATTTAATTAAATCACAAAACAGTGTGTATATGTACATGCATGGAGAAAGGTCTGGACAGCTTCCTCTAAAATTACAGGTAATATTCATCCTATGGATGTACAGTTTCTAGGAATTGATGATGCCTAATACTTTTCCTTAGCAGGGAGATTCTTGTGCAAAAGTGAACAGACTATTGATATGGAAAAATAAATTCAATTATATTTCATTATAAGAAGAGTTTGGAAGAATTGCCTTTCATAGTGTTACCCTGACTGCAGTATTATCACCTTACATGGAGTAGTTTTGGTGTAGCATTTTTCACAAAAGTCGTGTATGTCAATCTGTCTCATCTGTGCACAGAGTGTGCCAGGCATCCTTGGGTTTTAAAGTAAAAGGCATAACCAGTGTGCTAACAGATCAAATGTAACTGTAATACTATGTGAGCACTATAGAGATACAATGTCATTTTGGAGTCTAATTGAAATGTAACAATAATTTAGGTGCCTGGAGGTCTTTGCTAGGAACAAAATTGTTAGCTTTTTGTGGCAGTTGAGATTTCTTATCTTTAATAGTTTACAGAAAAACTTAGCCGTTTCCTCTGTTCCATTTGAACTTAGAAATTTCAGCAAGATTATTTCTAAACCAACGGGAAAGAGCAAAGATACATGGAAAAACAAACAAAAATTGCTATTATGTTTTTACATAGTTAACATTGTTCTTGAAAATGTATCATTCTTGAAGCCAATTCATGTTCCAGAGCAAAAACAATGCCTGTATATAGTGAAGGTGAGATAAGTGTATTTTTATATGATTGAATGATACAGGACATAGGAAAATATTGTAAGGAAAACAGTTTTAAAAGAAATTTTTTTTAAGATTTATTTATTTATTTATACAAGAACTGGGGTACAGGCCAGATGTGTGGGAGGTTGAGAGGATTCACCAGAGACAGAGCAGGGAACAGAACAGGCAGACTGACTGAAATACACTGCTGAGGGGAGCAGCGGGCGAGATAGGAGAGGTCTGCTGCGCTACGTGGGACCCTAGCCAGCCAGCCAGGATCAAACCAGCACTGCAGAGGCTGCGGACAGCTTCACAGCGTGGCGCTGAACCGCCTGCGCCATCAGGGGAGGCCCCTAAAAGAAATCTTTTATGACTTCAAATGTGAACATATTTCCTACAAAAGATTTGAAAAGCAGATTTTGATGGAGATTCCAGGCAAATGAATTAGAATTTCAGACAGCCCTGACAGTGGGGGCTGCCAGAGAGCCCCAGGTGTGTGTGATTTGACACCCATGCCTTCATTTAGGGCAGTTTCTTGGTCCTCTGACTTTGCTGTTGGGTGACAGAAAATTACTAGGTCAGGAGGCAACTGATTACAGTGGCAATTGCTTCAGAATCCCAAGACTGGCCTCTTGGCCACATTCCCTGACAGGGCACACACATGCTCAGCAGTTTGGAGCTTTGCTTCCTGGGCTACACAGCATGACAGGAATACACCAAAGCATTTTCCTTTCAGATATGGTGTGGAGATAGGCTCCTCCACCAGCATAATGGGGCCCAGCATCCCAGCCAGGACTCGAGAGGTGCTCATCAGCCACCTGGCATCTTACAACACATGGGCCCTACAAGGTATGCATGGCACTTCCTGCAGGCTGGGAGGGTGAGTGTCAGGCATGGATGTCCAAAATCCAGAGAAACAGAGGAGCACTCTAGGTGGTGATTTTGATGCTCACCCTTTTGCTCTGAAAGGACAACAGGCTTATACCCTTCCAGTAGAAAGTTGGTTTTCTCTTCTGGAGTCTTCAGATCAAATCTCATTGGCCTGGCTGTGATCACATGCCCAGCCATGCATGGACCAGTCATTCTCTTGGACCAAGGATGGCATGTGTCGATTGGCCCGATTTAGGTTATATGTGCACTCCTGGTAAGGGCAGAGGAAGGATCACCCCCAAGGAATGCCAGAATGATCTCTGAGAAGAATAGGGAATATAGAGAGAGAATGGGCCAAAAGGCAAGAGGTCCCTGCGGCCGTTTCCCATCTCCTGGTGCCTTCGTGTTGCTCCTCTTCTAGGACTCAATGGACTCGAAGGCAGGGGGGCTAGGCACTGCCCTGTTTCACAGTGAGGCATGCTGGGGCCTGACTTGGCTTATGTCTCTGCAGGGATTGAATTTGTCGTGGCCCAGCTCAAGTCCATGGTGCTGACATTGGGCCTGATTGACCTGCACCTGACAGTGGAGCAGGCCGTCCTGCTGTCACGCCTGGAGGAGGAGTACCAGGTACTATGCAGCCAGAGGGGAGGAACTGGTTTTAACCCATCTGAAATGGTTTTATGCAAACTTGGCCTTTATTATTTTTGTATACATACAGAAACAAAAACTAAGGGCCAGTGAAAGTATTGCCAAGTAATCGTAATAAAAAAGTCCACTATGTGTCCCAGCACTGGCTCTACTCTCCCCTCATCGCCCCACCTCCTCTTCTCGTGGCACGGGCCACATTGTTGGGAAATGCTGAAGTCCAGGTATCAAGCCAAATCCAGGTAACACTGGACTAAGGCCTTCACCCCCACTGCAGGAGCAGAGTTTTGGTTCGATCAGGATCTTTTGGGCTGACATATGCAGAATGGGCCTGTTCAAGTGACTGGCAGCTGCGGTATCCTTTAGAAGGCTAAGCCTTTACACCCTGACATTCACATAGCGGTTCATCTGGCTGGCAGAGCGTGCACAGGGAGCTGCTGTTTATACACAAGGTTTGATTTAGTGGACTCAAAACTAATGAGGTTTTGCTGTACCATCCTTCGCATTTTTAAACTGAAAATTATGGTGGTCTTTGCAGTCTTTTTGTTGTTTTTTTCTCCAACCTCAGAAGGTTAATTGCTATTACAAATTGGTTCCTAGTATGATGAAAACCCTTTTGTAATGTCAGTATTTCCCAAGTCCATTTAGTTGCTTGGGAAAATGCCAGGGGGGGAAACTGTTTCTGTATTACCAAAGAGACTGGATATTCTCTGGATGTTAGAAACAATTAAATGGGAAGGGGGTGACCCACGGGGGCTTCAGGGTTGTGGGAGGATGGGAGCCATGAAGCCTGGTTTCTGGTCTGGTTGTAGCTTTTGACAGTGGGCCCAGAGCCAGGCCATCATTCTCTGAACTTCAGGTTTGATGCTCCATAAAAAGGGAGTTACCTGGACTATGTATGTGAGTTCTCGGAAAGTCTGCAGTGCTCTTCCCATGACATGTCACATGGGGGTTGAGACCAGACCACCCAGAAACAGGTAGCTTGTGTGGTGTGGCAGATTGAGTTCCTGGATGGGCTGGGGCAGCAGGCTAGGAGTTGGCAGTGTTGGGTTGGAGTCACACTGACATCTGGACAGCCACACTGTGTTTGGACCCTCTCTTGTTGTTAACCCTAGAGGAAGATTCTATGACCTTTGCCCCGTGTGCAGAGCAGAGAGGCCTCTGCACCTCAGGAGTCAGAAGTGAAGCCACCCTACAGCCTTGGTGATCATTTATCCCACCCACCAACATGGGGAGCACTTGCAGCCCACGTGGTGAGGCAGCTTCTAGACAAGGACATTATATAGACTGTCTCAGGCTGGCACTCTTGTAGGAGGACAGCACACTGGGTGGGTGCTTGGGAGACACTCCCAGACCATCTGTGCCCTTCGGAGCATGGGTGCTAGCTCTGCCACCTGTGTAGCACTCAGCCTGCTGCCCTCAGCCAGCTACAGGAATAGGATGTGACCCTGGTGAGCAGGGAGTTGGGCACTAGTCACTCACTCAATGGCATGTCTTGTCTTCCCCTTAGATCCAAAAGTGGGGCAACATTGAGTGGGCCCATGACTATGAGCTGCAGGAGCTGCGGGCACGGACTGCTGCTGGCACCCTCTTCATCCACCTCTGCTCTGAGAGCACCACAGTAAAGCACAAGCTCCTGCAGGAGTGAGGCCCAGGAGGTGCACAACCAACCAGTAGGACATTGACTGTACAGCCACAGGCTCCCCTGGCCCACAGGGCTCCCTGGCTTGGTGCCTACTCAGCAGCACCCTAGATGCCTTGAGACAATGCACAGCTGTCTGTAGATCAACTCAAGTCCAACCCAGGTGCCCCACCTGGCCAACAGTGAGCGGGGGGGCAAGTTGTCTGCATGACTTTCTCAGCCCTGATTTAAATATTAAATATTAAATATTTCCACAACCTGGAAATAGTGTCAAGCCATTTTCATTTGTACCTCCTTTTTTCTCCATTCTTCTTATAATGTCTGGGTGACAGCTCACCTCCCCCAGCATGCTGCACTGTCTGCTGCCCATGGCCAGGAACCCCACACTGGGGACAATCAGTCAGCAACACACAAGCTTTTTTACTCCTGGTTTTTAGTTAAATGATCTTTTGAGAGTGAGTCCTTTTTGCTTAAACCAGTAGTTTGTGTGTGTTGCTACTGTTTTAGAAAGAATTATTTACTTTTGCAACTAGAAAACCTGCATTGTTTCTGGGTTAAAAGCCCAGGGAGTCCCAAGAGTATTCCCGCTGGCTGCTTGCATGGCCGCAGGAGGCAGCCTTGATCTCCCAGCACTAGGGCCCCGTGAGAGAGAAGTGGGTGTTGTCTGAGAGTCTCAGGCAGCAGAGGCTTTCCTAGCACCTATCCTTGCCCACCTGAGTGATGAATGGCACCATCTCCTTCACGTGGGGCACTGGCCACCTGGGGGCTTTTCCATATTTTCCATGTGTTCTCCCTGAATCCCTCGACCATGCTCAAAGGGTGTATTGTCACATTCCCACTTCAGAGCTGCAGCTCAGGCTGCAGAGGTGATGTGTGATGCCCAGCCTATGTCTTAACCTCTGGAGGGTCCAGCTTCCTGCAGCCAAGCTCAGAGCCACAGGGAGCAGCAGCCTCAGCCTTGGGCTGAGGGCTCCGCCAAGGCCCTGGTTCTGTGCTGGGAGCTGCAGCCTCTTCTGCATCACTCCTCAGCACCTGGAGGAGAGGTGAGAGGAGATTATTACAGCCAGCAGCCTGCCCTGAGAGCATAAGAAACGGGGTCAGCACAACGCTGAATGTGCCCACTGGCAGCCCCTAGGGAACTGCTGTCAGTAGGCTCACAGCTGCATGGTCAACTGCCTGTCATGGTCTTTTCCTCCTCGTACATGAACATGAATTCTGTTTCTTTTTTTTTTAAAGAATGGAGAAACATTGGGCCTCCCTAATGGTGCAAGGGGTTAGGTCTCAGCACTATGAAGCTATCGGCAGCCATTGCAGCACGAGTTCCATCCCCGGCCAGGGAGCTGACCCACATGACGCAGCAGACCTTGCCCACTGCTCCCCTCTGCAGTGTATTTCAGTAGATCCACCTGTTCTGTTCCCCACTCTGTCTCTGGTGAATCCTCTCAGCCCCGCACCTCTGGCCTGCATATATGCATAAATAAATCTTTTATTAAAAAAAGAATGGAGAAATGTTAACATAAGTCCTTTATTTTTCTTTACATTTGGAGGTTTTTTCCCAGGGTGGAGGTGGGGGAAGAATGGCATTAGGGACTCACGAGTTGAGAAATTCCCAGTAATTCTCTTCTGAGGCAGTGAAATGTGTGCTCTGCTGGTCAAAGCACACAGGTGCTGTGTTTTCCAAGGCAACCCCAGCTAATAGCCTAATCAATGATATAGCCACATTCCAGGTTGTCCAGTTCATTCTGCGCATGGTCGATGTATTGATTGATCTCCTTCACTCGCTTGCGGTTCCTCATGATCTCATCCTTGTGAACCTGAGGGTGAAACCAAAGCCCAGTGTCGAGCATCAGATAATTGGTTAATATGTTTTCCCGAGTCTGGTTTGAGGGAAAGGGCAATCATTCTTTGAAATCTGCATAGGCATGTCCCTCATTTACACTGTGTTCCGCTTCTACACACACTTAAGGTAGGGGTTAGAAAAAAGATGAAGCACTGTTATTTATTTATTTATTTTTAAAGATTTATTTATGATTACAAAAGCTGGGGTACAGGCCAGAGGTGTGGGGGGTGAGAGGATTCACCAGAGACAGAGTGGGGAACAGAACAGGTAGATAGACTGAAGTCCACTGCTGAGGGGAGCAGCGGGGAAGACGTGGGGGTCACCTCCCTGGCTAGGGTTCGCACTCGCTGCAGAGGCTGCGGATAGCTTCACAGTGCTGTAATTAACCCCTTGCACCACCAGGGAGGCCCATTTTTAAAAGTGGGTTTTAAAGTGACTGGACAAGACTCAATCTTCAGCATGGAATTCTACAATCCTTAATTTTACTTCTTTCATCATTTCTCATGCATATAGTACATGGTTCCTAGGGAAGATTTCCACTTTCTCTGGCTGGTAGCTGGAGAAGCTGGTGCAGCCTGCTAGGCCGCGTGGCATTTACTCACCTTGTCCACTAACTGTGAGCACCAAGAGTTGACCCTGGTCACCAACTCGTCTTCTCGATTGTCGATCTTCAGGAGGTGGATGTCATGGGAGGCCCCCACAGCATTCACAATCGTGTCTTTGTCGACAAAAAGCTGATGCATGAGAAAGACCAAATGAGCTTGTGTGTCATCACACCCTGAGCACAAAGCCAAAGTGCTGGTGAGAAAAGGACCCCCCGAGCCCCCTGGCTGTTAGGAGCCATGCCGAGCAGGCCCGCTGCCCAGAGCCCTGTGAAGATCCCACCTTTCCATTAGCTGTGTCAGCCCATTCTCCTTAGCGCTCCTCTCCCAGTGACCGTACCTCCCAGGAAAGGACCAGCCTGGGTGCTGCCTTTGCAGACCTGGTTGAGAGCACATTCTCTCTAGGAAGAAGGTAGATTGCGGCCCCAGAGGGCACCTCAAGCAGGACATCTGCTCTCGTGACATTTCTCTCTCGGGTACCCTTGAGACTGAGTGACCTGAAAGCTGCCATCCAGGAAGCATGAGGCCTGTCTCAGTGGTTCTGAGAACCCGCAAACCAATGGTGTTCACCCTGTGCTGTTTCTCCACTGTCCCTCGCATTAACCAAATTGAACCTTAGATTATTTTGGGGTCTCCTGCTTTCTCTGTTCTTGATTGTTTTCTGCCATGAAAAATGTCAAAAATGGCCAGTTCTAAGGGTTTGTGCTGAGACTGTGGGCCTAGCACAGATGAAAACTGAGTGGAATCATTTCCCGGAGTGAGGACAGCTACTGGAGCACTTAAGTGGTTGCTTCCTCTTGGAAGGAAGGCGCTTTCTGTCATGCCAAGGACCCAAATGTTCTCTATTATAGAGAGGGCCAGGAGTGGATGTGTCCTATTTTCTTTCCTATAGTAGTCTTTAACAGTCTCCAAAATATGTGATGTGGAATCTTAAGATGTTAAAATTTCTGCAAAAAAAAAAAAAAAGTATTTTTTGGTGAAATACATTTGGGAGAGCCTGCACACCCCAGGCCTTTCTTGATGCACCAAGTATAAGGCACGTTTCCAGAGAAGGCTCTGGTAAGTCCTGTGGAAAATAAAGTCTTAACTTTGTCTTGGGTCTCCCTGGTGCAGCAAGGGGTTAAGCACCGCACTATGAAGCAATCCACAGCCTCTGCAGCTCGAGTTCGATCCCCGGCCAAGGAGTTACCCACATGACAGCAGACCTCTCCTGACTCACCTGCTGCTCCCCTCAGCAGTATATTTCAGTCAGTCTGCCTGTTGTGCTTCCCACTCTGTCTCTGGTGAATCCTCTCACCCTCCCGCATCTCTGGCCTGTACCCCAGCTCTTGTATGCATAAATAAATAAATCTTTGTCTCTGTTTTCCAACTTATTTGGGCATAACTTCTTTTCAGAGTAATGGCTGTCAGTACGTCGGGGGGTGCTGGTTTGTCACAGAATCACATATGGAAAAGCCAGGCTAGCTGATGTGGAGGTAGGAGCATCTGCCCAGGAGAAATGACAAGAAATTATTAAGCACTTCCCCTGCATAGAAGGTCCTGGGTCAGGCTCTGAAAGGGTTCGCGAGCGGCATGCCCTGAAATGGTCATCCTAGTTATTTAAGAAATAAATAGTTACATTGATAACATCACCCCATTACTAAAGGGTCCTCTTTCATTTAAAAAAGTGGGTCACAAAGGAAGAAGACCTAGAAATCTGACTGCAGAATTGAGGCTACTAGAGGGGGGAGGATGGGGAGCAATTGGGGGAGGGGTGCTTTGGTGGTGGGTGTGGTATGGTAATACACATTTGAAGAGGGGTGAACCTATACCCCTAAATCATATACAGTATTGTCACCTCTACAAAAAATAACCCAATTTTTAAATAGTGGATTACAGTCTCCTAAGCCAAGCAGAGAAAACATCCCCCCAGTTTGAATATGTAGAAATCAGCTTCAGAAGCTGTGGGGAGTGAAGTGTTCTTAGAACCAGATGAGGCTAGAATTGGTCATGAAAATCTGCGTGACATTTGTAAAATACAAATGAAAGGAATCTGGCTTAAAGAAATTATTTTAAAATGCCAGTTACGAGTTGTTTCTGGACTTCAGATGGCCTAGAGTGGTGGCTACGTCAGTTTGTCCTCTCAACAGCTCTTGTGGGTAAAACATTCCATATTCCCTTCTCGTTTCTGCAGATCAAAAGCACTGAGGCAGGAGCCATGCAGCGTCCAGGGATATGCAGAATCCGGGGACTGGTCCTGGCTGCCTGAGCTGTACCACCCTGTCCTGCGGGCTTACCGAACTTCACCCAGGGGGCTCTTGCAACTGGAAAGATACATTTATTTCAAAGTGATTTTTTTTTTAGGGGGAGGAGGGGAAAGGACTGTTGAGAAGGACCCAGGACCACCGCAATGCTGGTGGCTTGAGGATTTGCTGCCTCATGTCTGCGTGGGATCAGATCATTCTGTCAAACACTTGCCCAGGCACAACTGACACTGTGGCTCCCTCCACCCCAGAGACAACAACAGAGAGCCCAGTCCCTGCTCAGCTGATCGGGCAGAGATCCTAGTTGGGCTCTCATCCATGCCACCAGTGATTATGGCGGGGAATCCTACCCCCGTCACTCTGCCAGACCATCGGGGGACTTACCGGTCTTCTCAATGGCCTTGGCCAGAGCACAGACCCTGCCCTTGCAGCTGGGTGCTCGCCTGGGTGTTCAGAGCACCCAGGGAGCATGTCTGACCCACTACCACCTACATGTGGAACATGGGGCTGGCTTTGTGTCCTTGACCTGGTGGAGGGAAGCAGTAGCCCGGCTTCACTGTGGGCAGTTTTGGCTGCCAATGCCACTCACAGGCCCCCTCCCTGCAGGCTCCAGGGTCCCTCCTTGAGCACATGCATTCTGTTTTTCCTTTCAAAGCTGTGAAGACTTTAAAACATGAGTTTGGTTCTAAGACTGGCATGGGCTGACTACAATCACTCTTTAAAGAAATAGAGAACAAAAGGCGCTTTAAAGAAATACAGAGGGCCTCTGTATTGTAAGGGGTTGCAAGGGGTTAAGATGCAACCTACAAAGCTTCTCTGCAGCCACTGCAGCACAAGTTCTATCCCCAGCCAGGGAGCAACACACATGGCACAGCAGACCTCTCCTGACTCACCCACTGCCCCCCTCAGCAGTGTATTTTAGTCAATCTGCCTGTTCTGTTCCCCAGTCTGTCTCTGGAGAGTCCTCTCACCCTCCCACATCTCTTGCCTGTACTCCAGTTCTTGTATGCATAAATAAATAAATCTTAATAAAAACGAAATAGAGAAACTCAACGTGCCTTTTTATCATGATATGCTCATTATCAGATAACAGAAATCAAATTTTTTACATCAAGGGACCTATTCCCCCATCTGAACTCCCCTGGCTTGCAACAGGCTGAGTAGACATGTTCGGCTTTGAGTCAAGCAACCTGGGTTGAAATTGCGACTCAATTGTTCATATGCTCTCTATCTTTGCTCAGTTTACTCTAATCTCTGTGCCTCAGTTTCCTCATTTGTAAAGGGGAGCCATAGTGGTACCTACTCATACAGTTGGCCTCAGGAGGTCCTCAGTAAGCATCCATTATTTGTTGTTATTATTACTTTTTACAGAGCATGGCTTCTCTGCAATCCACTCCCCATCCCCACCCCTCACATGCCACTTTTTTTTTTAAAGGTTTATTTTTATTTATGCATACAAGAACTGGGGTGCAGGCCAGAGGTGTGGGGGTGAGAGGATTCACCAGAACAGAGTGGGGAACAGAACAGGCAGACTGACCGAAATACACTGCTGAGGGGAGCAGCAGGCGAGTCAGGAGAGGTCTGCTGCGCCATGTGGGTATCTCCCTGGCCAGGGATCGAACTTGTGCTGCAGTGGCTGGATAGCTTCATAGGTTGCGTCTTAACCCCTGCGCCACCAGGGAGGCCTGACATACCACTTTTAAAGTGAAGAGACATAAACCAGCTGCAGCACTGTCCAGTCCTGGCATTCCCTGCTGCGACTGCAGACATTCCCCAAAGGACCCAGACACACTGGTCCGCAGAAGAAAGCTCTCCAGGAGACTCTGCAGGCTGCTCCCACCAGAGCTCTGAGACAGAGCCCCACTCCCCTCACTCCTGGAGCCATGGGCAAACCCAGAACACCAACTTGTCTTGCACAATGGGGGACGCAGCGCCCACTCTGGGTAATGGTCCTGGTTCTGGGTCTTGGGACTAGAGTTCAACTCCAGACTCAGGTCCTCATAAGCCAGGTCATCTTGGGCATTTTACCAAACTTCTCTAAAACTCTCTTACCCAGTTTTCCCATCTGTAAACTGAAGATGATGACAATATTGCCTGTAGGATTCTCTGTGAGGTCAGCGAGATCACGTGAGCGCATCAGGTGTCAACTCCTGGATAGTGGGGAGCCTTCTGTGGGTGGCACTCTAAGAGGCCAGGCCACTGGTCAGCACCCACTGTGCCCCCAAGCAGCAGTGCTCAGGGTTCCCAGCACCACTGGAATAAGAGTCATGGTGCCTGGCATCCTTGCAAGAGAGAGGACCCACCTAACCTGCTTGTCTGCCATTGACCTTTGGGGCCCCTCTCTTTCTGTGTGTTCCAGGCGTTAGGGAAGGAGCATGTGTCAGTCATGTGCAGACTGGGTGTCACAGACCTGGGAGTTGTGCTGAGGAAACTCTACCCACCACTCCATGGCCTGTCTGGAGGGTTCCAAAGTAGGCCTTTGGTGGCAGCCTTAGTTCAGGGCTCAAGGCACCTCCCTGAGCCTGGTCAACATTAGCATTTGGTAAGAGTTTTGGGAGGGAAGGCTGGTGACACCGTGGCCCTGCTACCACACAGCTGGGCTTGGTGTCTGGACAGCAGCTGTGGCCGTCAGGGACAGCCTGTCTCCGTGTCTGCAGTACTTAGGCAGCAATTGGCAGAGCGGGGCTTGGCGAATGACTCCTGGCACCTCAGCTGTGCTGTGTGTCATTGGCGGGGGAGGTGTGAGGTGGTGACGAGGCCATCTCTGCCTTCCCCATGAGCCTATGTGGACTGTGAATAGTCACATAAGCAAATCAGCATAAACAGGAGAGTTTGAAATTGTGATAGGGCTCTGACAATGAGAAATGGGGTGTGTGATAGAGAGACAATGGTTTTTCAGGAAGGTGATGAGGGAAGGCCTCTCCAAGGAGCTGACATTTGAGCTGAGACCTAAATGATAAGGACAAGCCAGACACACGAGATCTGAGGGAAGAGGGTGTCTGCTAGGCAGAACATCAACAGAAAGGAGCAAGCCTGCGAGATTGGGGAGTCCCCAGAGGCTAGGGCCACAGGAGGCTGCTGAGGTTGGCAGGCGGGGAGGACGAGAAGAGCTCATGCTGAGTCATGGAAAGCCATTAGAGGTTGTTGTGCAAGAGCGCAAAGTGCTGTGGTTTGGGTTTTCAAAGGCATCTCTGGTGCTGCATGGAGAACCAAGAGTAGGAGAGCCATAAAGAGATCAGTTGTCCAGCAGAGGACACAGTGGCTTGATTTAGTGGTGACCTGCAGATGGCACGAAGCTGAGAAATCGGGAGTAGAATGAATGAGGAAGGAATGAAAACAGGCTCCTGACCAGAGAGTACCTGGGGCTGGGCCCTTCCATTGTCCCCCGTACCCCTTTCCTGAGACATAACACACTGCCACCCCAAGGCAACCCTGGAGAGCCTCTCAGTGTGCAGACCCAGTGTACAGAGCCTGGACTACCTCTGCTGACCCATAAGGATTCATCACTGGTGGAAGGTGCTGCATTAAGGATGAAGACCTTCAGGGAGGTCTCCGACCTTGACTTCTACTTATAACTGCCTCTCTTAGAAAGTGCCAGAGCCCACAGAAACGAGCTTTTGGAAATCAACCTGTGAATAAGTGGAAACCACATAATTATCATGAAATCCTCTTGGATCCTACTGAGAGCCCCACTGATGCTTTATTTCAGCATAGTTCATCTGTCAACCACTCTGCCAAGACGGCTATTATTCCCTTTCGAAGATGAGTAAACTGAGGCACCAAGAGGTTTTCAGGCTATTGGAGTCTCAGCGCTGGGCTGGCTCTGGTGTCCACCCCACACACAACGCTTGCTTGTGATGCCCCAGCTCCTCTCACTGCCCTGCCCATCACACTCACTGCTCGCAAGTCGTCTGGCAGGTCCTGGTCAAGGTCGCCCTTGAGTATCTTCTCGAGGGTGTTGATGGAGATCTCCAGGAGCCTCTCATGATGGTGGTTCTCCAGGTCCCGGCACTGAGCCATTGTGCAGCCACGAGTTAAGCAAAAGGGCAGAGCAGGGCCCCCACACCATGACCCATGCCTGGGGCCTGTGCAAGCACTCAGAGGTCCTGGACACTCCCTACCAGACACTAGCAGACTTTTAGGGCAGCAGGGCAAACTGTGAGGTGCTGGTGCATCACCACCACGTGACCATCTGCCCACACACACCAAACCCCAGGGCTGTCCTGACTGCAGCCCCCACCTTCACAGTTGGTCATCACTGACGCTTGGTGCTGGGCTCCCTCAGTGTTCCTCCATCATGTTCCTCCCTCAGTGGTCCTCCATAATCCACTTCTCTGCATGCCACCACCTTCTGATTGGGCAGGAAACTACAATCTGGTGTCCCGTCCCCCCGCCCCCCCTGCCCCCCCCTGCCCCCCCCCCCAGTCTAGCCCTGTCTCCCAACAGCTGCCAGAATAAACTCTTAAGGCTTCAAATAAAGGGACCTCCTCCTGCCTGGGCTTATAACTCTCTGGGAGCTTCCCACTCCCTAATGTGATCCAGAGGCTTCCTCTTGGAACCAGACCTCTTTGGCCCACCCTCAGTTGTCTCCTTGCCTGGAATGTCTTTCCTACCTTTCCACCTGTCTCTCTGGCCCACCCTCAGGTCCTCATTTAGTGGGCCCTCCCTCAGGAAGCTTTCTGAGGCCCACCAGCAAGCACCTTGTACTTTTGGCCACTCACTGTCTCCATAATTCTGTATCTCTGTGGGACTATGGGCCCAAAAGGGCAGGACCAGGAGGTTGCTTCTGGGGTGTAGTGCAATAGTTTGCCCCCCACATGATTTCAGTTGGCAGAAGCATTAGTCATGCCCAAATGTCAGCTCCCAACCCTGACATTTAACCTGACAAGCCCATTAAAAATAATATGTCAGTGTCTTCAACATGAAGATTTCCCCCCACCCCAGGTGTGTGGATATGCAACACAGTGGGAAAGGCAGGGACTCTGGGGTGTGGTAGTTCCCTGAGTACCACACATTCAAGAACAAGGAGGGACTTCTGCAAATAATGGGACCTACACAGCGACCCCAGTGAACAGCCAAACCTTTACTCTAACAAGGCTGCCATTGTTCTGAGGTCGGGAAACTCCCTCAGACCCCAGAGAACATTTTTCAAACATTCCAAGTGGTTGCCAAGACTCAGTCCTTTGATGGAGCTTTTTCCTTGGTGAAAAACTGGCAGTTTTATATTCCTCCAATTTCAAAGGTAGAGAGTCCCACTAAGCAGAATCCTCTAATAAATTTAATATCATCTTGGTGGAGGTACAGACCTTTTTGTAAATCAAATGGGGTGTAGGTACTTCTGGTAGAAAGCAAAGTAGGATTATAAAGTGCTGACTTTTTACTGTCTCTGCCGACATGTTTAGGCTGCTAGTGGCAGTGGGAGGCCGTCACCTGGAAGCCCCACTTATTTGCATCCTGCTGTTTGTGAAGTTTTACCTGCCATTTTAAAGATGGCGGCTCCTCCATGTAGCTCTCCTGGAGGCAGGCAGAGCGCTGGTCTAGACCAGAATAAACCCAAGGCTCAGGAGCCCGTTCCCATGGAGGGTCATCAAGGAAAGGATATAGGCTTTGAACATTTTCGATGAAGGTTCCCATTAAGTCAATGATATTCCTTTCAAACATGTTTATCGTTTCCTAGAAATGATAAAAAAAAAACACAGTTAACACATATATTTAGATAGGAACCCGACTAGCCTAGTGTCACAGCAGGAGGCACTCCTTAGCACTCACCTGGTGCTTCCTCTTGTCACAGATCTTCTGGGTGAAACCAACCACAACACTCTCCCTGGGAGGATGTTTGGGATCTGCTTCCCTCCTCCTCCTCTTTCTCACAGCTCTGCTACTCTCCAGATATTTCAAGTCACTCACCACGGCCTGAATGCTTAAAGCAGTGCTTTCTTCAGGCCTTTGCATGTGCTTGTCCCTCTGCCAAGAATGCCTGTCCTGGTCTCCATATACCCACAGAACTAACCCCCTTCATTTGGGCTTCTCAGGGACATCTGTCCATCACCTCCAGAGAGACAGCGCAGGTAGTCACTAAAAGCCAGACTCCTCGGTCAGTGTGGCAGCTCCACCACTGTATGGAACTCTGCGAATGTCATTGAACCTCTCTGGGCCTCCACTTCCTCATCTATGAATTGGGTTTCCGGTGCAATACCTGTCTCATGGAGTTGCCCTGAAGCTTAAATGAGTTACTTCACATGAATTCTTTGCAAGGTGCCTGGCAGAGAGGGAGCCCTCAGTAATGCTGGCTGTTGCCTCAGACCTGTCACCATCAGCAAGGCTGTCTGCACAGCCTCCACCTCCTCCCTGAGGGCACTCCTGCATTGCTGAGTCCCAAGCTTAGCAAGGCACCCAGGGGACTTCATGTGACTGAGGGAACAACTGAAGATGCAGTGGCATGGGCCACTACTCTGAGAGCCCCCAGGGTCTGTCAGCACCAGATCTACTGTAGACCTACATAGCCCACAGGGAGGGCTGAGCTGATGGGGGAACTTACATAAGCCTGAGAACTGTTGATGAGCTAAGCTAATTATACATTTTTCAGAAGTGTGTAAACACTTGTCATGAATAAAAACAGGGTCACTGAAAAGCACAACTGCATTTACAGCTTTCTGGCTATTGGTAATACAAATATGACCCTGCATGGGTTCGTTTTTGGATCTTGGAGAGTTTTTGGATCTTGGAAAGGGGATCTCCCTGCTCGAAAAGGTTAGGAGCCACTGCCTAACCTCCCCTGGTGCTCCGTGGGCTGCTTTTGCAGTGCTTGAGTATTCCCCAGCGGGGAGCAAGCAGCTGCTATGTGATGTGATGGGGAAATCTATTCCATGTCTGAGGTGTCACTTGACATGTGCGGAATTGATTAGGCGCTATCTCTTGGCCCAGCCACAGCAGCATCCAATGAGGTTCAATTCATCGCAGCACTTCAGACTCCTGGCCTTGGCTGCCTCGTGAACACACAAGTCATTCTGGCTGCTAAGGGATTTTAGATAGCAGAGCTCTTCACATCCACTACTTAGCGCTGAATTGCAGGCTCCTGCATGCCCCTGATGCTGCAACCACAGGCTGCATTGCTGAGCATGCAGAGCTGTGTGGAGGAGCCTTTGTTTTGTCCCTGACTGGGGGTCTATTTTGTTTTGCCAGCACCCAGACAGCTCCTTGGGTCTAATAAAAAACCTCCCTAAAGTGTCTCTGGGATCTTGGAGGAGAGGTAGGGGGAGAGAACATTCTAGAAGAATGAGCTCACCTCATTTTGCATAGAATTACTTGCAACTGAAATGATCAAAATGAATTAAAAGCAAACATAGAACTGATGAGAAAGACAGCGTTAGTTTGACACTCTGAGTTGCACTGGACATTTCTAGAAGAAAAGACACCTGCTCACGTGTGGTTTTGCAGCTGCATCACCAGTTCTTGCAAATGAGTCTGACTGGGCACAGTTGCATCATGTCTGTGCCCAGGGACCCGGCCTCACCTCCAGCTGTTCTACCAACTGCATCTCCAGTGTCATGAGCGTGTCAAACAGTTCGTTGATGGCCTCAGAGGATTCTGTGATCTTTGTCTCAATGCTGGTCAGATCAGACTCATGGCGAATGGCATTTAAACTCTGGAAACAAAAGCCTGTGACTTAGAAATCCACAGCTATGTGTGATTAGTTAGTGACAGGTGGCAATTTGCATTCTTGGGTGGACCTGCCCAAGTTCAGGTGTCAGCTCCACCACTTGCCAGCTCTGTGAGCTTAATGAACTACTTGCCCTCTCCATGCCTCTAGGCTCTTATAGCAGGTAGAGCACTACCAAGTGCTCAGTATACATCAGCGCAGGTTTTTATTAGAGGTGTGCCAGGACAGGTGGAAGGAGCAATAACAGCAGAGTCAGGTGAACCTGAATTTGAATACTGTCTGGGTCACTTACCGGTAGTATGATCTTGAGTGCACCACTTTCATTCTTTATGTTTTAGTTTCCTCACTGTAAGGAGGACAGAATCTATGCTTCACAAAGTCTGGGGATTAAACAGTGTATATGAGGTGCTTGGCTTACTGTGGGGGCTCAACTAAAGAGGCACCCATAAAAGGCCTATAGCAGGCATAGACAGGGAGAGACACTGAGATAGAAGACAGTTCCAATCTTTGAGGAAACTAGTTGAACCCACACAAAACGCTATGGTTCAGTGGGAGCCAGTGGTAAACAGATGCTAGCCCTACTGGACGGGGAAGCCTGGGGAGTACCTTGGGGTCCAAGTTTGGCACTGATTACCAGTCATTCACTTAAACAAAAGGGCCTGAGGATTCAGTCGCCAACAGATGTGATGTCAATTTGTTTCTGTTAATATTTGGTATTAGTTATGAAGGACAGAATAATGGTACGATTCAGTGGGATGAATGATACATAGAATCTTGGATATTCCATTCAGAGAAAAATCAGGCTTGATCTCTGCCTTGTCAAGCCCTATATAAAAACAAATTCCCAATGGAGCAAAGATTTAAATGTGAAAATATAGGCCATAAAAATACTAGAAGGACAAATGGGGGATTTTAAATACACAAGCTCAGAGAGAAGAAATCCTTTTTAAGTATAAACAGAAGGAAAGACTGATAAATTCTACTATCAATACATAAAAAAATTAATTCCCAATGCCCAGAGCACCATAGACAAAATGACAAGATAAGCAACAAACTGGGAAAAATATTTGCAGCTCATTTCACTGACACAGGACTAATTTCTCAATCTGTAGAGAGTCCCTACAAATGATGATTTTTTTTTTAAAGAAAGAGACAGAGAGAACAAGAGACAAAAAAAAAAAAAAACCCACAAAAATGGGTAAGGGCAAATTATAAGAAAAAATAGTTCCCAGAATAAGAAATACAATTGTTTATAAAATGTGTGATGCTTACCACCACTTATAAGAAAATAAACACTGAACCAGGTGTACCAGTTGGCAAAGCAGAGAATGCTGGATAATGGTGGCCTGACAAGAGAGAATGCAGGCCTGCAGGAGATACAGTGTCTGTGGCAAATTGCAGCTGGACAATGACTTAAAGTAGTGACACACAGTTCCACTTGTAGGACTTCACCTTACAGATCAATCTTGCACCAGGCTATTCATTGCAACACTACTTGAAAGAGCAAAGAATTGGAAAAACCTAATCGTTCACCAATAGGGATTAGTTTAATAAATTATGGCTCATTCATGCAATGAGACAATTTACAGCTATGAAATCAATGAAGCAATTCAAGTTTTGGAAGGCACTCCAAGCTGCGTAGACAAAATAGCAAAGTGCAGAACAGTGCATGCTATATTTTCATCATGTACACAAACACACACACACATGCATGTACACAAGATGGAGGCCAACTGACTGTACTGCCTGCAGACATTTTTCATCCTGAGTCTGTGCTTCTACTTGCGTTACCTAGCCAGGAGTGACTGCGACTACACACACTGCCCTTCATGTATTTTGCCCTGACAACTCAATCTCACTGGTCCCCACTACAGTTCTGCAAAGTGGTTCTCTCCATTTCATAATGAGGACATGCAGGCCAGGAGAGGGTCCCCAGGGGGTGGTTAGTGTGAGCATTCTGCCAATCCATGGACCTCAGGCTGTGCCCCCTGGGAACCAGGAGGGGTCGCTGTGTGAGCCCTGGTCTAATGGAGCTCGGTGACATGATTGCAGTTACAGGACAGGAAATAATCCTGTGAGTAGGAACTGGGAGCCTCAGGCCTGTGCAGTCTGTGAACTCCCAAGAGAGAGAGCTCCCTGAGCATCAGGGTCCCTGGGGAGTTCTGGAAAATCCCAGGGCCAGGCACACCCCAAACTGTCGGGTGCCGCCAAGTTCTGTGTGTGGGCTGAATGAGCAACACTGTTCTAGGCTCCGGACAAGCAGTACACAGGTCAGTCAGTTCATCTGAGGTGACCTTTGAGGGCATCGCCGTTACAGCAGCCATGCAGACCAGTGTCTCAGAAGCAGGAGAAGCCAGCCTACTCTGAGACTTATACCCCAAGCCTGAGGAATAGCAAGTTAAGGAGTCAGGCCTGGAGTCAGACTTGGAGCCAGCAGGAGTGCAATGCTGACTGCCCATGTCCTGTTTCTCCAGGGGAACTCGTTGCTGAGGGGAGTGGCCCTGGCCCAGCTTCAGGAGGAGCCAGCTGGTGTCCCAAATCCAGTGGCAACAGGGACCAGATAAGAAATGTCAGGGAGGGGCGCACCAGACAGGAACTGGAGGACTAGAGATGTGGCCTGTTTAGAGGGGACAAGTGCTGCTCAGGCCCTGATGACAACTGCCTCCAGAGAAGCTGGCAACCACAATCTGTCTGTGAGATCTTTCCATTTTTAATGTCAACGGATGTTTAAAACATTTCAAATCCTCTATGGGCCTAACAAAACACATCTGTGAGCCAAATGCATTCCTCTGCTGACAGGTTTGAACTTCCGTTGAACATGGTAACACCCCTCCTCTAACCTAGCGAGGAGGGTCTCCAGGGTTGTTACACAGAATGTGAGGTCTGTTGGGGATGAGGAGCAGGAAAGCCCATCTTCAACCCCATTATAGCTGACCTTCCGTTTACTTTACTTTACCTTATGTTTGCTTCACTTTAGACTAAGAGTCCTTATCCTGGAGTGACTGTACGAGCTCCCTGAAACCCCGGAAGCTGCAGTCAAGTGTATCTGTACTTGGTTTGTGTGAACGGTTTTTTGAGGAGAAAGAAGGTCCTTAGCTTTCTTTAGAGTCTCACAATAACTTGTGACTTAGAATATATTCTTTAAAAGTAATGCTAACTCAAATTAAAAAAAAAAGTAATGCTAACTCAAAGAGGCAACTCCCACCAAGTACACGTGGTTCCTGCTTGGGCTGGACCGAGGAGCCTGGCTAAGGTAGGCCAGGTCCCCCAACACACAGGGCCTTTGTGGCTCTCAGGTGGAATGCCCTTCTTCCACCTCCCTGGGATCACGCCCATTAATTAGGCCTCAGGCTGAGTTAAGGTGCCCCTGGCTACCCTCAAGCTTCCTGGACTTCCTTCCAGTATAGGACGATGACTCCTGTGGGAAAGGTCTGAGTCTATGTCCTTTACCGGATGGGACTCCTTAAGGGCAGGAACCATGTCCAGTGTGGTTCTGGTTTCCCAGGGCAGACACAGAGTGGAGGCTCAGAAAGTCTGCTAGATTAACAAATAAGCAAAAGAAAGGAGTTGTAGTCTTCACTTTAATAGTAGTTGTAATGGTAACACCATCATTAACCATAATGATGATGCAGCCTTGAAGTGCAGGGACATTTTGGGTAAAGGAGACTCAGAGGCACTATGCACAGGCTCAGCTCAGCCATGGTATGATGGAGGAGCTGTGCTTGGTGCTGCCAGTTGAAGGCTGAACCTCAGCTCTGTCACCTAGCTGTGCGATCTCCGGCAAAGGGGCAATGACCATGAGCCTCAGGGGTCATAAGAGGTAGAGGGGCTGCAATCCCTTCCCTCTGGTGGGGCCAGGGCCATGGAGGGGAGAGAAGGTGGGGATCTGGAGCAGGAGGCAGGGAGTGGCAGGGCCTACCAGCAAGTGCTTCTCCTCAAACTTGGCAATCATTTGTTTGCCTTGCTCCTGGTTTTCCTGGATGGCCTCATAGATACCCTCATTGAAGGTTTCAAGCTCCAGTTTCCTCTTCTCCTGCTGGCTCAGTCCATATTCAAAAATGTCTATGCAGATGATGACGAATTTGTCCTTGAAGGTGAGTGGCAGTTAAGGAAGGTTATGGCTGTCTCGAGGGCAGGCTGCTGGGAAGGCACAGGACAAGGTTGGTGGTAACCCACGCAGAGCTGGAGGTTGAGATTTGGAGAATAATGTGGTGGTTGGGGTAACTCCACCCGAGGAATTCAGAAATAGGCCCTGCGTAGGGGAGGAGACAGGGGCCACAGGAAGAGACTCTGGAGGAGGATCATGCTAAGAAAGGGTCCTAGAAGTGATTTTTGGGGGTAGTGAAAGGGCCAGGAAGGGGCTGGGAACCCAAGAGAAGTCAGTCCTGGCTAACCATGTTTGTTTTTGCCTTTGGTACGTTATCTAGAAGGCACCTTTATAGGGGGCCTACTTTTGCGCTCAGCTGCCACAGGATGTTGACAGCCTGCAGAAAAGGGGATTCACAGGCCTGAAGCAGAGAGATCAAGTTCCAGCCCTGGCTCTGCTGCTGCTGTTCCTTGCAAGCCACGTCATCTTTCTGGGCCTCCGTTTCCTCCTCTGCAGCCTGAGGGCATGACAGATCCTGCCCCATGGAGCCCGTGGGACGGGTCCTTGAGGTCAGGCAGGATGCAAACAAGCCAAGATTCAAATCCTGAAAACTAGTTGGTGGGTGGCAGGGCCAGGCTGGAAGCCTCATCTCTCTGACCCGTGTTTTTCACCTCTGTACCGCCTCTAACCCACAACATCTAGTCCCTCCCCAATTTTTTCAGAAGGTTGGGTGTTTACAAGTGAGTTTCTTTCTACCCAGCTCCATGGACCCCCTCTGACTTGCTGCCTCATCTCAGCTCTCTCAGTGTATCCTGAGCCCCTCCACTGACAGTTTTAGCACACTTACAGGTCCACACAGCACGGCCATGATGACAAATGCTGATCACATCCTCTGGGCTCTGACTGGCTAGGAGAAAGGATGCTGGCTCTTAGCCCTATAGTTTTTAACTGTGTGACCTTGGACAAGTCAACCTCTCTAAGTTTAACTTCCCCAAATACAAAATGGGATTAACAATAGCACCCATCTATTGGTGTGGTTGAGAAAATTACCAATACTGTACAAAGAGTGCACAGTGGGAACAAGGAAATATTGCTAATGAGGATTGACACTCGCTGTGTCCTCTGAGGTCTCGACAGCATTTCCCCAAGCAGCTGCAGTCAACCTGGCTCTGTGCTGCCTTTTCTGGTCCATTGCTCTGAAATGGGGGTTTTACCTTGTAGGCCTCACAAGAGAGATGGGAAAACTGAGGCCCAGAGCAGAAGGAGACTTGCCCCAGGCCCAGGCTCTGCCAGAGAAGGCAGCTATGAAAGTGGAAGGATATGTCTCCAGGAGATCACTGACGCCGGGCAGGTAGGCCAGCTTGCTGCCCTCCACGTCTTCTGTGTACATGCTGTCAAACAGGAAGGAGCCGTTCATGTGTTCCACGAATGCGGCCTGCAGTCAAACAGCCAGGCTAGGGGAACTCTGATTTGTTCACGGTGGTGGGCCAGGGCTAGCACAGGAGTGTGGGGAGACTTTCTGGAGGAGGGGACTTGAGTTTCAGTCCTCTGAGGAAGTCAGGGCCAGTGTATGCCAGGCAAGGATATGCTAGGCAATGGCACATGTGGAGGTCCAGAGGCACAAAACTGAAAGTTATATATGTCTCAGTCATGCTGGAGGCAGGTGGGAATTGTGGGAAGAAGGACAACAGGGGCCCCATCTTGAATCCAGGGCTATACTGAGTAAGGGACTTGAACCTTCCAGGCTGCCATGGGGAACACCTAGGGTTTTAATAAAGGGACAGGTTCTGATTACTTCAGCACAACCTCCCCAACCCCATGGACTGGGGGTGGGAGGTGTATATGAGGAGACAAGGTGGGTACCCACTGGTCTTGGGGGCAGATGGTGGCAGAGCAAGGGGACAGGCCGTGCAGATGATTTACATCCTTCATCAGAGCCAGAAGTGGCTGCACAGCATTGGTTTTCAATCAAAAGACAAGTTGGGGGCCTGGGGCCTGCTGACTTTCATTGAATTGGACTGATGCCCTGTGAGCAGTCCTAGAGCTGGGGTAGGGAGAGGTGGAGAGCAGAGTTTCCCCCTGGCTGCTACCTTGTGTTCCGCCAGCAAATCCTGCAGGGCCTGCTCTTCCTCCTGCCGGGTCTGTATCATGTCCTCCCGGTGCTTCAGCTCATCAATGCTGTACTGGTACTTGGTCTCTGCCAGCTCTTTCTAATGGAAGAACAGGAAGTGGCACAGTCACCAGGGGGTCCCTCCCAGTCACACTGGCCTCTGTCTCCCAGTCAAGTGTGGGTGAGGTTGTTGAATGGGTCCCTTATGAAGGCTGTATGTGTGAGAATGGCTTATTTCCTCATGGCCCTTTTCAAGTATTCAGGAAAACCTTGGGGGTGGGGGGTGATTGGGGCAAAGGGCATACCAAGAGGATAGCAGAAGGCATCAGGGCTGAGGATCTGTGGGGCAGCACTGTGGGTGGGGGCACATCCAGACTCACTCACTCCTCACAGCTGCATGGCAGGTGTCTGACCCTCTTTTAGGGATGCCCAGTGGGAGAGAGGTGGCAACAGTCCTGTTCACAAGTCTCTGCCCTTGGCCCTATGCCCTGCCACCTTCTTGCTCCCCTCCACTGCTCTGCTCAGCTCCCTCACCCCACCAGGGAATGCAGAGCCCCTAGGTCAGTTCCCTCGACCCACCAAAGCAATCTCACCTGTGCTAAGACTGCAAGTACAAGCACCACTGATTCCCCTCCATCCTCAGACAACACTTGGTCTCTACCTCCAGCCCAGCCCCACCTCTGAGTGCCAGACCTGATCATCTAACAACCTTACTCCCATACCTCAAAAGCACTTCTAGTTCACCAGGTCCAAGACAGACCTCTGTCCTCCCAAAGTCCTGCCTAGGTGAGTGCCCCACCAACCCCAGCTAGCCAGCACCCAAGCCAATGCCCCAGGAGGCACCCTGGACCCTCCCCTCACTCAGATCCAAGCTGCCTCCTTACACCTTTGTGATCTGTCACACCATCTCCCCTTCAGGACCCCTGCCTCAACTGGTCTCTATTCTGTCCACCCCTCCCCAGAAAGTGACCAGAGCAATCACTGTTAAAAGCAGACTTTATGGCTTCCTCTTGGGCGTAGGATAATGACAAGTTCCTGCATGGCCAGTACAGCCCTGTCGGTTTCCTCTTTCTCCATCTCTAACTAAGCTCCAGCCCTCCGGTGGCTCCAGAAAGGAAGACAGGGGCTCCTCTGGGGTCTGTACAATTCCAGATCCTTGGCTTCCCTTCCAGTGTCTTGGGCTGCTTAAGGCCGAGCCCAGCTTCACTCATGAATGTGATGTCATACATGTTTTATTGTAGTTTTATGCCTTATCTTGGGCATTGGCTACAAATAGTTTATATTGCACAGAGTTGAAATCTTTTAAAGATCTCTTGTTATTCACTGAAGTGTATGCTTTTATTCTGTTTCCTTACATATTTATAGTTCAATAAATATATTTAAAAATGTAAAAATCTCTCATATCCTGCTTCTCCTTGCCGCCCCATCCACATAGCCCTACCCTCAGTCAGGCCAACTCTTCCTCCTGCCACCAGGACCATGGCCCCTCCCTTCTCTGCCCTTTATCTTTTCTTCTACATCCCTAAATGACTGATCACATCGTGAGTTTTGCCAAAAATTGCTCAGAATTCTCCAGAGGCCTCCATCTTCAACAGGACAAATCCCACATCCCAGTAGGACCCTGTTGCTTGCCTTGCCCCCCTATCTATCTCACCCCTCCCCACACATAGCCCCTTAACTTTGTGTGATTTACTGTGACTGCCTTCTGACCCACAGGTTTGCACTGAAGGGAGGACCGGCTTCCCCGTCCTGCCACCAAAGGTCCCATAAATTGGTCCGGGTTGGGTTCTTTTTTTTTTCCAGTGGGAAAAGTACCCATAAACTGATAGAACTACAAAGAGTGAAAGGGGAACAACTCATCGCAGGGGTAGTGGACAGAGGTAGGTGGTGGACAGACCAGCCAGTGGACAGAGGTGGCAGAGGACAGACCAGCCAGAGGTCAGGGAAGGGCCTTCTCATCAGTGTGAACACTGCACAGAGGCTGAAAGCACTGGCTCTGCTGAGGGACTGCCAGGGGCCAACTCCTAGCTCGCCCACCCCGGCTGTGAGACCCTGGGAGGGACATCTCATTGTGGCTGCAAGCTGGGGACAAGAGAAGGGTTTGCCTCACAGGTTGTGGTGAAAACAATGTGACCTGATGCCATGTGTGTGATGGGTACGGAGATATCACAGCTACAGTTAACTGTTACTATCACTGCCAGGGTCAGAGAGTGGAGGGATTCTGGCTTTGTCCTGAGCCCCTGGTTATCTGTCCGCCATCCTCATTTGTGTTCCTCAACTTCTCCATCTGGAAATCCAGACAGTGCAGGTGACCAGAAGGCAACATGTGAAAGGTGCCTACAAAGAAAGGAGCACTGAACACTTACCTTGAGGGTTCTGCTGGAACGGTTCTGAGAGGCAGTGACCAGGAATGTGGAGAGAGAGTCGTGCTTTCTCTCCTCCTCAGGTGGACAGAGAGCTACACCTCAGTGCCACTTCCCACAACACCTGGGGCCTGCTGACTGTCTCACATAGCTGGAAAACCAGAGGGAGACACTTGCCGTGTGCTCATCGATGCGCTGGAAGTCCAGGTAGACAAGGTCAGGCAGGTAGGCACAGATGAACAACTTGTACTCCTCCTCATTAGCAATGGGGTTCCCAGAGAGTCTGAGTGTCCGCAGGTTCTTGAACCGCCTCAGGTAGATGATCTGGGGAGAGAGACCTGTTTTCTTGGTTGCCTAGAGCTGAAAACAACCCTGGTAGCCTCCTTCCTTGGCACTCTGCTGGAGCTTGCAGTCTGGCCTTAGTGCCCTCAGCACTGGGTGGAGCCGCAGATGAGGAAGGGCTGGGAGATGCCAGATTCACAGCTGCACTGAGGCCTTCCTTCATTCAGTCACAAACTTTCCAAGGAACCAGAGTAAACCTGAGTTCAAATGCTAGCTGTGGGGCCTTGGGTAAGTTACCTAACATCTATGGGCCGCCATCTCCGTATTTGTAACAAGGTACAAGGATGTTATGGGTGTCATTAGGTGTTATAAAAAACAAGTGAATTGAGTCATGAAAAGTATTTAGTATAGCGCCTCTCTCTAGTCAGTAAATGGTGCTAGTCATTATCATTGGTGACTGAGGATAGGCACGCCTTCTTCGATTGTCAAGTTCTGTGAAAAGTCTAAATCTCTTAACTTATTATTTTTTTATTTTTCTTAAGATTTTTAAAAAGATTTTATTTATTTTGCGTAGAAGAACGAGGGTGTAGGCCAGAGGGGTGGGGGGTGGGGGTTAGAGGATTCACCAGAGACAGAGTGGGGAGAAGAACAGGCAGACTGACTGAAATACACTGCTGAGGGAGCAGCGGGCGAGACAGGAGAGGTCTGCTACGCCAAGTGAGTTAGCTCCCTGGCCCAGGATAGAACTCAGGCCATTGCAGTGGGGCCATTTTGGTGGTAACGCTGAGACTTAACCCCTAGGCCACCAGAGAAGCCCCTAAATCTCTTACATTAAATGGAACCTAATTTGTAGTTAACCTTGGATTAGCTGGGTGACAGCTAGTGAAACATTCTAACCACTATTTATTCTTCCTATATTCTATTTTTTTAGTAAAATATGGAACAAGTGAACTGGAGAGCTAATATTTCATCTGATAGTATCTTCTGAATACCTAAATCCTATACTACGCAAAAGAGACAAAAGAAACCTAGAAAGCTTTTCTGAAGGAATTTTCTTTCAGTTATTTGTTAATTTTTTCAACAAACATTAAGTGTCAGCCAGGCCTCAGGCACACACTAGGCCTGGGAATACAGTGGGAACCAAGTCTACATGGCTCCTGCCCTCATAGGAAGAGGCTACATTCTCAGGGCTGCAGATAAGAACGTTTTTTAAAAGTAAATAAAATCATTACCATTTGGAGTAATAGCTATAAGAACATAAAGATGGGTCATGAGTGAAAATAATAGGGAAGTCTTCTTAGGGGGTTCAGAAGCCATGGAAGAGCAAGGAGAGCACAATCCCAGAAACAGATATGGCACAAGTAAAGGCCTGGGACAGGAAAGAAAATGGTGTCTACATGCAGACAAGGAAGCCTGTGACCTGACTGCTTGCCTCCAGCCACGAGGAGCATCAGCCCAGGGAAATGCTGAGGATGGCAGAGCCATGAGGCAGAACTGACCTGTGTCCCTGAAGCCCTGAATAGCCCATATCTCCTCGCAGCACTAGTAATCACGCCACTAAATGTCCTCATTGTTCATAGAGGGGCTCAGCTTACCTCTGGCCTCAGCCCACTGTGCTGGACTCTTCAGTGAAGTGACTGTCGTGTCCCTATTCTCTAACATGGCTCTCTAAGCTCCCCACCCTTCAGCCCAGAAGCAAGATGGGAACTAAGCAAGGCCAACGTCACTATGGATGGTCAGAGAGGAGGCTGAGGGGAGGACATGGTTGGTAAGTTAGAGACAAGATCAGCAGCTGACTCACGTAAGACCTTCTAGTTTTGGTCAAGAATTTGTTCTAAGGACAAAGGAAGCCACTGGAGTTTTAAATGTATGTAGGGCAGGAAGACAGGATCTGATTTAATTTTTAAGAGCTCTTGTAACAAGATTCCATTTTTGATCTTTTAGATTGTTAATGAGAGAAAGGTTTGACCATGCCATGTGTTCTGGAAGGTGAGAGGAACCAGGCCTTTTCAAAATCGCTGCTGGGTTTGTAAATAGCTCCTCTCCTACAGATGGCAATTTGGCAAGATCCATCAGAATAAAAAATGCTCATGCCCTCAGATCCAGCAGTTCCACCTTTAGGAATTTATCTTACAGATGCGCTTATCAAGGGACAGAGCAAACCCTGTTCAAGGACATTCGTTACAGTCTATGTGCAATGGCTTGAAGTTGGAAAAAACCTCAGCCTTCACATGGGACACTGGAGAAATTGATCATGCCACATCTAAGCGATGGCACGGTCCAGCAGAGGGGGAGCCGATGACTCTGGAGGAGAAGGGTCGATTGAAGGCAGGTGCTTGGAGGGTAGCTGGACAGACATGACAACCACTTGAAACATTTCAAAAGAGATCTGGAAAAACACATATGTCACTTAGAAGTAGCTGTGGGCTCTAGGAGGGGAAGCGGGAACTGAGGATAGGAGTGAGAGCAGCTCTTCTGCTGAAACATCTGTTTGCTTTCAATGGGATAAACAGATACTAAAATAAACCTAGTAAATAAATAACAGGAAAGAATATAATTAGATGTCAGATTCATGGTGGAGTTAAGGGCTAAAATCAAAGATGCTCAGGCTTTGCTGGTTATTGAGCCAGGGTTTTCTGGGTCAAGTCATTGAGAAGACTGACATCTGATTAGGAAAAGAGGATCCAGGGACCCCAGGGCCTCTGGGATGCAACCAGGCCTGAGAATAATACAATCTGGATTCCGATACCTCAGCACTCCCTGGCAGCTTCTCTCCATGTGCCATCTTCTGAGTTCCCTCTGGGGACAGCTTTGCCTGCTTCTCCTATGTACAAGGAGCCATCTGGCACCCAGCTCCCCAGTGGGAAAGGGGAATAACGTGAGTTTACGCCCAGTGTGCAAAGGGATGGGATGGGAGAATGCCCAAGGCCAGGGTAGGGGGTGTAGGGATCTTCAGCAGGGCTGCGGCATGAACTGAGTCAGTGTCCACCTCTACACCTAGTTTGGACTTTTGTAGGCACAGGGCCTCAGGTTCATTAAAGTCTCCAAATGTCCAAGGGATATCAAGTCAGAAGAGAGCTATTTCACATGTAGGCCAGAAAGATTGGATTTACGTAGGCAGGGACAGTTCTAAATGCTCAGAAATGTTTCAAACAGCAAGATTTGGAGCTGTTAAGGTTTTATTCTTAATCTGAAAGTTCCTAAATAACCATCACTTTCCATGTACCTACTATGTGCCAGGTCCTGAATTAGCCACCAACTTCTAATGGATTCAACCCTCATCATAACTATTGTTATTCTCATTTTACAGATGGGCAAATGGGCCCAGAATGCTAAGTCACTGCCCCAACATCAGACCATTTGTAGCTGGCTAAAGCTCAGATCTTGACTCAGTTTACCTTTGGTCCTCCATGCAGACCTTCTAGCCAGCATTTGTTGGTGCTACCTCCACAAAGGTCAGGTTTATTGAGCAATTGGGACTTCAACTCTGAAAAGCACTGGTAGGGTTTAGAGTCTCCTGTCCTGTCTGGTGTGGAAGGCAATCTTGGAGATTACACAGCCCCTGGGGTCTCACCTGACCCTGGTGGACAGTTTTAAAAACAACTAAGGATTGAGTGCTTGACCCACTCCAGGCCAATGAAACAAGTCAATCAGTCTGGCCATCCACTAAGCTCTGAGAATGATGTAAAGTGGGGTGCAGCTCTTGATCAAACTAGAGGTTCACTGTGGGGGAGAGATCGCTCAAGCTCTCTGTCCTACTACATGTAGACAAGGAAGCCTGTGACCTGACTGCTTGACTCCAGCCATGAGGAGCATCAGCCCAGGGAGATGCTGAGGATGGCAGAGCCATGAGGCAGAACTGACCTGTGTCCCTGAAGCCCTGAATAGCCTGTATATCCTTGCAGCACTAATAATCGTGCCACTAAATGTCCTCATTGTTCATAGAGGAGCTCAGCTTACCTCTGGCCTCAGCCCACTGCGATGGTCTCTCAGTGAGATGGACTCTGAGTGTCCCTATTCTCTAACGTGGCTCTCTAAGCTCCCCACCCTTCAGCCCAGGAGCAAGGTGGAAGGGAGTTAATTTCCCTGGAGTGCCCCTTATCTGTGGAGAGACAGAACTGGGGCATAAATGCTCAGGCTTCAGACATTCAGGTGATCACTTCTTAGAGGCATTCTGGACATTCCAAGGGTCCTGGGGATCAAGATTCACATCACACACAGCAACCATTCCAGTGACATACTGACATGTCAGTTTTTTCAGCTTCCACACTGAGGTCCTTTCCCCACCACACCACCCAAGTTCTTATCTCTGCTTTCAGCACCCCTGGAATAAGTTTCTCTGTTCTTTAGGCAAAGCCCTTTCTGATCACTTAACCCATCCCCACAACCACCCTCAGTTTCCTTCCAAACTGCAGACCTGGCCTGGACACACTACAGCATGACAGCCTCCACAGCTCCCCTCTCTGCTTTGGCCAGCCACACTGGGTGCTGCCCTGTACCACACCGACCTCTTCCAGTGCCCTTGGCTCCTTCACGGTGCTGTGCATCCCCAGGCAGCATCCCAAGCACACCTGAGGCTTTTGCTCACTCAATTCCTGCCTCCTGGGAAATGGATGGCAAAACTCTAATAATCCTTTAATGAGTCTGAATCAAAAGTCACCTCTCCCCACTCTCTGAGGAAGGATCTCAGATGTGACAGTGCCTCCCTTTGTTAAGAATGTACTGCAGCCCTACATGGAACACGGTACCTTACACTCATTACCTCTTAGGATTGCTGGTAGGTAGTAGAGCAATTATCTCCATATTACAGGTAAGGAAACTGAGGCAGAGAAAGTTCAAGCCTCAGGGTGTGCAGCTAGGAATTGGATCCAGGTTATCTGACTGACCTAAACAGAAAAGAAATTTTGAAAGGGAACTTCTGGGACAGGCAAGCAGGCTGGAAAAACAAGTCAAAGCCATGATCCTGCCACAGGTTGTTTGGTAATGTCATCTTTGACACAGGACCTTATGGATGTTACCACATCCTTAGCTACTGGGGTCACAGCCCTAGCTTGCTGCTGCAAACCATTGTGGGGGTATGCAGGGAGCAGCCTGCCTTTCCCTAAATGACCAGTAACCATAGGTACCTACCCCTGGTACCCCATGGCAGGTACTGGATACTGGCTTCTCATCACCTTGAGCTGTGACTATGTAGGTGTGTGACTGTGTAAGGTCCCCAAATGGACCTTACTTGTGGGCCTCTGTGCCCACTGAGCACAGGATAAATGTCCCATATCCAATAGGACCTTGACTCAGCAAATGTTACATGAGTGTGGGGCTCAGCGAAGGAAAGAGATCCTACCAAGGCAGAGGTGCAATTTGGCACCCACAGATGGGCTTTTGATGGGTTAAGAATGGTGTTTAAACATTTTCAGATCTCTTGGGGACTATCTGGATTTCTGACTTTTCAGGGAAAAGGGGATGATCTAGAAGTGCAACCTGCCTGCCCCGCCCCACCACACCAGCCCTCACGTTCATCATGTTTCCGATGTCATTGTTGCCCAGGGACAGCATCTGCAGCTTGACAAGGGCATCTAGAGAGTCGATCTTGGAGATCCGGTTGTTGAACAAACTCAAGTCCTCCAAGTTGACCAATGTGTCCAATCCCTCAATGACCTCTATGTTGTTGAAGGACAGGTCTGGAAGGCAAGAGGGCTGTGAAAGTCTGGTGACAAGGGAGGAGGGTAACCATCTTGAAAAGAATCCTTCAGGGTAACTTAGTGTTCTGTGAGCCAGCACCAAGTTGTTGGGCCAGTGGGCACTGACTCTCTGACAGCTTAAGGTCATCTAGAACCTGGTGTGGGTTTCCTATGGCCTCAAACTTTCCCCACACTCTCCAGTTCTGTCACTCATCTTCCAGACTGGAGACACACGGGTGAAATTCAAGTCCATGTTGTGTCATTGTTCTGGGGTAGAAACGCTTACTAGCAGTGCATCTTGGGGTGGAGACATGATTGTAGTGTCCCCTTCCCTCACATCGATAGGTGTCTTAGTTATAATACCTCCCATCAGCTTAGTATCTACCAGCTTATCAAGTTGAAGTTCAGAAAAGCTCAGTGATTTCCTCATAGCCACACAGCTGGCCACAGTGGCGCCAGAGTTTACTGGGGACTACTTTCTTGGCTTCGGAACAGGTTGGATTCTTCCAGCTATGTTACTGCTGACCCAGGCTTCCTCCAGCCACAACAGGGATGTCAGGATCCTCTCTGGTCCATAGTCATATCTTTGAGAATAAAAGTACTTTTGGGGGTTGACTGGGGTTGGGACTGCAAATCTGTCCTGTAACAACGAGGGCCTAACCTGGGAAATATTCATGAGCCTGTTAATATGATCATAATCACCACAAGTGATCACATGTAAAAGGTGACTTGGGAAGTGAGTTTATCAACATCTTAACTTAGGCTCCTTGGTGTATCAGGGGATACTCACCTTTGACAATTGGGACAAATGATAATTTATTGTCCCTTTCTCTATGTTGGCTCTTTAAGTGCATTACCTTATTTAATGCTGACTGCATAGGTATTATCTCCGACATTTTATGGAAAAGGAGACCACCATCCAAAGGTGGTGGTTGTATGCCCACACAACAAATAAGAAATTGCCTTTAGAAGGGCTGAAATAACTTGTGCAAAACTGCTTGGCACATTGGTAGAGCTGGGATTTAAGTGGGGTTTGTCAAATGCCAAGACTGCCTACTTCCTTCCCCACCATGCCACCAGCGTCTGTTCTTTGAAGGCCCAGCCCTATTCCACTAGAACTAGCAATGTGCCCATGAACGTTTAACAATGGGATGGGAGATGGGAAGCCCAGATTAGTAGTCTTTGCTGATTTCTGTGGTGTAAAGGCTCCCAGCAGCCCATTACAAGCTATCAACATGACATCATGACTGCAAAGCTGGGAGGAGATGTGCACAATCAGATCTGGAGTGAGCATGACCAGTACTAGCCAGCTCCAGCATGCCCTCAGCCCTGGGGTAGCTGACTGGTGGGCTACCAACAGGGCCTGGCATGCTGGTGGGGGGCTGAACCATCTGAGAGCCTTTCCTCTCCACCCCCACCTCCTGCATCCCAAGGACCCAGCCCGTCCTGGGCTGAGCCCACAATTTGCTGTCTTGCCCTGAAGTGTGTGGGTACCCTGTAACTGTAGGCTGAGCACTGAGGATCTGAGTATCTCTGAGGTGGGGACAGCAATGGTTGGGTGCCTGGGTGACTAGTGTGGTGGCTGGATAAAGGCTGACTTCTGTCTCTCTGACCTTCTTTTTGACTGCCTTTGAAAGCTCACAAGCCCTTGGCACTGCCTTTAGTACTTTTTCTTGGGTAGAACAGCCCAGTCAAGGCTGTCATCGCTCAGGTTCCTAAACTTTACACACGCTGCTCCCCCTGCCTGACACACTTCTCTGCCCCATTCCTATCCATGAAACTTATTTTAAGAGTTTAAATTTTAAGAGTTTTAAGAGCATTTTCTTTTATCTTCTTTTTCTTTTCATTTTCTTCCCCCTCCACCACCTCTGAAATCCTTTTGACTCTTTTTCTCTCCCCCATCCTTAACTCAGAAGCATCGCTTCATTTATCAGTGGTTGCTAGTTTTTATAAGTATTTTCCTTTGCTGTCTGCTATGAAAATCGATATTTGTCTTCTGACTTGTATTATTTCACATAATTCCTTTGAACTCCCTCCATTTTGCTGTAAATGGCAACATTTCCTCTTTCCTTATGGCTGAATAATATTCCATTGTGTGGCTATAGCACATCTGCTTGATCCAATCCTCTATCAGTAGGCACTGAGGTTGTTTCCATGTCCTACCTATTATAAATAATGCTGTAATAAACATTGCAGAGCATATCATATCATTTTTTGAGTTGATGGTTTCATGTTCTTCAGATAGATGCCCAAGAGTAGCACTGCTGGGTCATACGGTATTTCCATTTTCAGTGTTTTAAGGTAAATCCAGATCGCTTTCTAACATGGCTGCTCCAGGTACATTTCCACCAACAGGATAATAGGGTTCCTGTTTCTCTGCATCCTCCCCAGCAATTGTAGTTGGCAGTCTTTTTAATATGTGCCATTCTCATGGGTGTGAGATGATAGCTTGTCATGGCTTGAACCTGCATCTCCCTTATTTAAAATGATGATGAGCATTTTCCCATACATCTATTGGCCTTCTGGGTATCCTCTTTGGAGAATTATTTGTTCAGATCTGCTGCCCATTTGTTAATTAGGTTGTTTTCTTGTTCTTGTTAAATGGAACACATTTTTAGTATATTTTGGAAATTAACCCCTTACCAGTTACATAATATGTGAATATTTTTCTTATTTAGTAGCATGTCTTTTTAATTGACTTCATTTTCTTTTGCTATGAAAAAAGCTTTTAATTTGAGGCGATCCCAATTGTTTGTTTTTGCTTTTCTCTTGACGCGGGAGTCAAGCCTCCATTGCAAGTCTTATGTCTAAGTTTTTAATCCATTTTGAATTTCTTTTTGTGCATGAAGTTAGAGAGTGATCCAACTTCATTCTTTTACATTTTTTCCCAGCATCATTTGTTAAGGAGAGTCTGCTGTACAGGACCATGCTGGCAGCTGAATATTGCCTGCGGGAAGCAATAACCATAGCAGGACTCTCCCTCTCATGAGGGTGAACAGCCCCAGGAAGGAGACTTACCTAGCCAGACCAGCTGTGTGAGTTTCTCCAGGCCCTCTATCCTCTCAATGAAGTTATTGTCCAGCTGCAGCTTCCTCAAGTTCTCAAACTGCCAGAGGTTGTCTATATGGAGGATGTCTGAAATGATCAAATAAGTTGCTCTGGCTTGTTCCTGCATTAGGGTAGGGTTAGAGTTTAATACTTGTGCAAGGGACATCCAGATGACTAAGGCTAATCCCACAAAAGGCCCACAGTTTGCTGTCTTGCCCTGGAGTGTGTGGGTGCCCTGGGACTGTGGGCTGAGCACTGATATCTGAGTCTCCCTGAGGTGGGGAGGGCAATGCCCAGCACTCCTCCTGGGAGCACTCACTGCACACCTGTGTGCTGCTTTCCTCAGCATCAGCAGTTTATGTGGAAAAACCACTCCAACACAATAAAAGCAGGATGCATTTGTTGTGCTAAATGAGTTACTAGTGAGACAGGACTGTCCCCAAAGCCAACTTAGTCCTTTAATACAGACACAGAATCTGCTGCTACTGCCACCACCATCATCATTGCTCCCTGGACCACAGCAGCAGCCATCTCACTGCGATAGCCACTGGTCCCCAGTGTCCTCTTCTATAGCCAGTAGCATCCTATGGAAATGTAAGTCCCATCCTGCCCTTCCCCTGCTCTGGACTCTCCCAGGGCTCCCACCTCATTCACTATAAAAGTCAAACACTTTCGCTTGACCCCCACACTGATGCCAGCTGAACTCCAAGAGCTCTGTGACCTGTCTCTACACAGCTCCCTGCCTCAGGGCCTTGCACTGGATGTTCCCTCTGCCTCTACCACTTTCTCCAGATCTGTACTTGGCTCACTCTTACCTCCTTTAGTCTTTGCTCAGTTTTCACCTACTTGTTATGAAGCCTCTGACACCTGATAAGATTCAGACCTCAGCTCTCCTTTGCGCCTCTCCTTGCTTTATTTTTTCCATAGCACATATTACCTGTAGTATATACTCTGTTTCCCCTTTTCATTTTATTTGTCTCCCTCGCTTGAATGTCCATGAGGACAGGGATTTTTGCCATTTTTGCTCACAGTTGAATCCCTAATGCCTATGACAGCACCTGACATATAATAGGCACTTGATATTGAATGAATGAAGTACTGATCTTAGATGGGGGTGGGGAAGTAAAGGGAAAGCAGTCAATGTCAAACCCATCTCCCTTTCCCCCCCATCATTCTGCAATGACTTTAACCTTTTTGCTACCGAGGGACTGAGTCTCATGACCCTTGTTGTTCTGGGTGGCCAGTGAGCTCCTGCAGAGGCCAGACTATGGGCAGATCCATGGGCTTCATGAGGCTGCCTTGACCCACCCCAGGATACACACTCTGGAAGTCCAGCCGCAGGGACAGGACGTCCTTGAAGAGGATGCCCTCCTGCTTGGCCAGCTGCCCGGCCTCTTCCTGTGGACCCTGCTCCACCACCGCCTGCTTGAGCATGTCCTCGTCCATCACTCTCAGCTCCAACGAGTTGCACGGCTGGTTCATCTTCCCTGAAAAACAGCACATTCCTCCCCTATAACCTGGTTCTCCCTGAGGTCCTTTTAAGCAATCATGGAACACTGTGACAGTCACAGACACTCTGAAATCTTCCCCTCACCCTACCCCTTGACCGATTATATCTAGGGGCTAGTACATTTGCTCCAAGGTTGCTCCCGAGCTTCCCTGGCAACCATCTGTTCCTGTCCACAGGGGTGCACCCCTCAGTTCCACAACCACAATTGTGACTCAGTGAGCTGAGGTCTGTGGATTTGGCCAGTTACACTGTGAGACTGACAATATTGCACAGCCTTGGGAAGTCATTGGGATCCTAATCCTTGGGATCCTTATCTCATTCTCATAACCAATTCTCTTGGTGAGAACATCCAGATGGGCTAGACTCTACAAGAAGATATGCTCTACTGGAAACGCCTAGATTCTGCCTCCCCAGTCCTCCAGAAACTCAACTTTCCTTGGTACTTCCACCCCTGTTTCTAACCTACAAGTTTCACCTTCTACCTTTGTCTGCGCATGTCTCCCTGAACCTCTTGTCCTCCCTGCCTTGCTAACCCCTGATGATGGGATCCTCTGCCAGGAGCCAGGAACACTTGTGCTCTGCTTTTAAATCCACTGAGTGTTGGGCTGATGGTATCTACTGCAAACCAAGGTGTGCCTGGTGATCCTGTCATCTGGTCCTGTCACCAGGCCGCTGCCTGAGTGTCCTTCATCCCTCCTCTGCCACCATCCATTTGGATTCAGCTTATTCAAATACTCATCTTCTGTTTCTGAAAAGTCCATGATCAAATGTCCCAGTGACTCTGTCATGTGTCCTCCCCTTGTGCCCCCAGGGGAGGTACATCCTGCCCTCTCTCACAGCCCCATGTACCTTCTTAATCTGGGGCCTCCGACTCCCCAGTCTCCCCTACCTCTTGTCATTGACTCCATCACCTTAGAGTGATTGATTCAACTCCAAAGACATTTCTAGCCCTCCACCTGTCTCCATCTCCCTGCTCTTCTAAAATAACTTTTTCTAAGATTTTCTATAACTTGACATCAACTTGCCTTTGAGGGAATTTTAACGTGATGTATTTGGCAGACATTACCTGTAAAGTGTTTGTACTTTTTCAAAGAAAGGTGCTGTACTTTGGGAAATGATTCTTAATTCTGATTTCAAATCTTCTACTTCTTATGCACGTCACCAAGGCCTGGTGCCTGTAACAGATCAAGCTGCTTTCAATCAAGCCCAACAATTGCTAAGCAACATGCAATAGTTGTTATGCACACTGTTATACACACGAAGGAAGGATGTGGATCCTGACTGTGTACCCTTTGGCAACTCACTTCACCTGTGTAAGCCTTTGATTTCCCATCTGTAAAAGATGGATGACTCCTCAAACCCACATTTGTTTAAGATCATTTATTGACACCACACATGTGTAATATATATGCTGTGAATAAAATAGATCTTTCCTCTGTTTCAGACATGAGTCAACTAATCATACAAATATTTAATTATCAGTACATACCATGGCCATATTTGTAGGTGTTGAAAACTAGGAGAGCATACATTAGGGGGACCTGGCTTGTCCAGGGGAGGTATGACTGAGATCTGAAGGATGAGTAGAAAAGAAGGGAGAGGAAACTGCAGAGTAAGGGCCCTGATGTGGGAGAGAACAGGGCATGTTCCACTTTGGCCAAAGTGATGCAAGATAGAAGGGCCTTGGTTTTATTACCCTAAGATCCTTGGGAAGATCCTGGAGCTTAATAAGGGCAGTTATGTGATCAGATTTTAATTTTAAGAGGCTCATTCTGCCCACAGTTTTGAGAACTGCAAGAGACGACCAGCATGCTGGCAAGATGTAGGGGCTTCATTTATATGTAGGACTGCTCACTTGCAGTTTTCAGATAAGAAAATGGAAACTGGTTAGAAAGGTTAAGTAATATGTGCAAGTTTACACATCTACACAGAGGCAAGAGAACATGAATCCAGAACCCATTTTCTTGATCATGACTCAAATGGGCCCAGGGCACTATGGACTATCTTTGTCATAGTGCACAAGATTTCTCACAGTTGTTCTGGATCAGGGTCAAGAACCCAACATTTGCAGATGAAAAAGGGAATTTTATCAGCAATTTACCACCCAATGTAGGTTTTGTTGACTTGTCTGATGATAATGTTGTTGATGAAGACCAACGGTAGGAGGGCAGGGGAAGCAGCGGAGAGAAAACTCCTGAGAAACAGATTCAGAATTGTCCTAGGAAACAACAATTAGGATCAACTGGATCTCAAAAATGTAGCCCCACTAGTTATGAATTACAAAAGAAAAGCAACCATTTATGGAATGCTTACTGTGTACTAAGTGCACGTGCATTATTTAATTGCATGTCAGCTCTGTAAGCCATTAGGGAAGGGAGTGTGTTAAGGCCTTAGTCTCCCAGATAGGGAAACTTGAGACCTGGAAGGGATCTTAATATACGAGCTACTGAAGAGACAGACACTGATCTCTGATATCCATAGATCCATCCAAGGCACGTTATATTTTGATGGCGATCAAATAATAAATGAAGAAGAAGAAACTTAAGAAGAGGAGAAATTTACTGTCAGTAAAGAGGTGGATTATGAGGGTTAAATTTTTTAAGAAGTTATCAGTGGATCAGGTACCTTTCTTTCCTTTAAAAGGAATCAGGCCAGGAGGATGGGGGATGGAATCCCTTGAAAAACTCTTCGGGCTCTGCTCCCTGAGGAAATGCTTACTAGCATTGCTTATCTGAAGGCCTGAAAGTCCAGGACTAGAGTTTTGAAGGTCCCAGCGCGGTTGTAAAGTGGCTAACAGAAGACCTATGTGCTCATTTTACAGATGAGAGGAGTTGGGTGGGACTCCTCAGAGGGGAAAAAAAAAAATCAGATTAAAGAGTTAAGTCAGGGAGTTGTCTGCCTCAGCGAGTCCTCCCACAATTGCAGCTCCCGGGTCTCACCTTCTCAAGAGAGGTTTTCGGTGCCGGGTCCACGCATCAGATGCTTTGCCTGGTAGCTAGGGAAACCAAGCGCCGCCACTCCGTTGCTAAGGGGAAGTCGGGAGGCAGACATCCTGTGTGAAAGTTGATGCACCACGTGACCACATTGCTGGGTGGGGAAAAACGACCACCAACCAGCGGGAGAGAAAACAAATGTTTCTCCAATCAGCCCCTTTTGGGGCGGGGACTTTTCTAGCCCTTCCTCTTCCCCGCCCCTTTATTGTATGATTGACCTGTCTATTGTCCAATAACAGTAAGAATTCACCAGATGGACCAATATAAGGATGAATCAAAATGCACAGACTCGTTCGGGGGCGGGCCAAGGGAGGGGCCGCAACGCCTGACGGAGATTCCTGTGACCTAGCTCGCTCCTCCGCCCAATCGGACGCCGCGGGGTGGGTGGGGGTTTCAGGGAGGGAGGTTAACGGGCCAATCGAAAGAAGGCTGGGCAGGCGTAGGCCAATAGGGACGCCGCAGGGGGTGGGGTCAGGGGCCGGGCGTTCGGCGTTCCTGAGGGTGGGGCGGGGGCAAGTGTCAGTCAGGTCGGGATCGCTACGGCGAACAGCGGGGACCGGGGCGACTGACAGGGGGCCGGGACCTCTGCAGTGTCGTCCGCCCACGATGGAGTTCCTCCTGGGGAACCCTTTCAGCACCCCGGTGGGGCAGTGCCTAGGTAAGACCGCGCGAGGGCTGGACGTCTGGGTGGGCGGCGGCGGCTGGCAGGCTGGTGAGGATGGTGGGCCTCTGCCCGGTACCGGTGCCACCGCATGTACACACTGGGCATCCTGGTCGTCTGGTCCCTGGCCGATCGCTTGTGTTGCCCCACGGGCGGGCAGGGCCTGCCCACCGACGCCGGCACCACCCTGCCTTGTGGCGCCTCGAGGCCCAGTTTGGACCGGGAGATGCTCCCCTGGTCCCATCAGGGCCCAGCTCTTGCTGTCTCCTAGAGGTGGTGCCACCCTCTTGCCTACTGGGAGATGCCACTGTGTGCGCCTTTATCCAACCTGACGGGCTCGCTGCCACCGCCACCAGGAGTCAGTTCTCCCAGACCCTTCTTCCTTCATCCTTGTCCCACCTTCTCAGTACCAGCAGCACGCAGACTGGGCACCCTCCCAGAGAATGCTCCCTAAGACTTGCTAATTAGAGCTGTAACTCTGCTAGGCTGTAGGAGGGACTGGGATGGGGGGAGGGGTTTATAAAGGGTGATTATCTTGGCAGGGGGATGGCTTGCCTGCTCTCCTTCCTGGGAAAGGGAAAGGAGGGAGGCTGTGTTAATTAATGATAAGAGCCTTGCAATGGGAATCAAGAAGCCTGGATTCCAGTAGGGGCTTTGCTAGTTACTTTCCCTATGACCTTGTGCAAGTCACTGCCTTTTTCTGCTTTGAAGTTTCCCATCAGATGAGACTTTTGGAGATCAGATGTGATAGGTCCCTTCAAGTTCTAAAATTTTGATGTTCCTTGTGGAAGTCTTCGCACATTAAACATGGTGCTTCCTTGCTGTGTTAGATTTTCCAAGGCTGAAGTCTCCTGGTCAGAGTGTAGAGAAATTGGTACTAAGCAATACCTGTAAATCCTATGGGAGGACACTGGGCACCTGAAATAGGGCACCAGAGATGATCTGTATCCTGGGTAAGGAAAGCACAAGGGAATATGAAGGAAGACCAGAGTGGCCACCATATGGAATTTTCTTACAAAAAAAAAAAACAACTTGCCTTTTCACCTTATGCCAAGTGATCAGTTGAGAATGTTGATTAGTTTCTGGTTCCTCCTGTTGGTGGAAGGACCGGTAAAACATCTTTCATGAACAGGGATCTTCGATGTCCTTATGGGTCAGGCTGGTTAGGCAATAGTGATTTGTTTTCTTCTTTACTATGAATTTCCAGCTTACTTTTCAGCCTTTAGTAGGGACTGTGAAACTAGGCCTCTCCTATTGGCTAGCTGGCAATTGGGGGTCTTTCTTTGTGGTATGGAGTCTTTGATAAGGGATGATGGTCACTGGGCCCTGGAGTAGTCCTTTCTCACCTTTACTGACTCTCTAGAGAACCACTCCCCTTTCTTCTTCCTCATTTTTTTTCCTCAGGTGCTCTTTCACTGCAGCCGTATTCCAAAAACTTAGTTTCCAGTTGGTTGTTGTTTTCTGTGTCCTTTGAAATGGCAAGGTAGTTGATGAGGGGTAGAAGTTAAAGGGGATTTAAATTATACAAATATAAGTGATGGAAAGAACAAGTGGAAAGAGCATGATGTTTCTTTCAGAAAGAACTGAGTTGAATTTTACATGTCCACACATTGCCTTGTGATACCAAAATTGTGTAACCTTCCTGAGCCTTAAAGAAGAGAAAAGAAAGGTTCATACTCAAGGAGTAGAGTGGATTAACTGAGCTGATGGATGTAAAACACTTAGTACAGCGCTGCCATTGTAGTAGAGGCTCCATAAATTGTGGTTGTCACTGTGAATAACAGAATAATTAAGGTAGGGTTGAATTTTCTATCTGGAGAGTATTTGTGGGACAACTGGCTTATCTACAACCAACAAAGGAAAATAGTTTTATAGTTTTTTGTTTTTGTTGATTTTTTTGTGTGATGGCTTCATAACGTAAAGCTTCCAGACCCCAGCATTCACTATCCCTTATAAAAGGCACTTGACCATAAAGAGAATGAAGCCTCACTGCAGTCAGTCAACAGGCAAGCCCTAGGTGATCTCACAGTTCCGTTCAGAGAAATAATTAGAGGACAGAATGAGGTTCTAATGTACTACTGAAACAAAAGATAAAAATGATTTTCATGACATTTGGTATTTTTTAAAATGTATGTTCCAGGGGGTTGGTGGGAGGAATGGGGATACAGAAATAAAACAAGAACAAAGCTAACAATTAAAAGCAGCAGCTTTAGCTCACACAAAGTAATTCTACCACCATTATCTGCTCCTTAAAGCTGCTCTGTAAAGTAAGCTTTATTGGCCATCCCACTTTAGAGATAGGGAAACTGAGGTTCAGTTGGTAAGAGGATTTATGGTGTCAGGAGAGAAGGCAGTGAGATCCGTGGGACAACAATGACTATCAGAAGGCCACTCGGTAATTAAATGCTCAGTTGGGTAGTGCGGGTTTTAAATGCTGTTAGAAGTCAAGAAGAATTCAGAAGATCTGGAATGATGGGCCTGGCTGGCTTTGAGTCTAATAGCTTGTTGATGAGGATGGGTGGGAACTCCACAGTTAAGAAGAGGGTACCCTGTGCTTGGGGACAGGTAAATGATGCAGGGAGCAGGTTTCTGGGCACACCTGTGAGTCTGGGTCTGAGTGGAACAGAAATGGTTTGGGGAATGGGAGCAAGTAAATTTTGGGTCCATTCCTGTTCTGTATAGGTGACATCAAAGGCAATAGTCTTGACTTCAACTTTCAATGTCCCTGGAACTCATTTTCCTCACTCAAAAAAGAATACCTCTCAGCATCTGCTTGTAGCTAGTACCTACCTAATTGCATCAGTACAATTTAGTAGGCATTTTGAGTGCCTGTTGTGTGCCAGATTCTGGGATACAAATATTAAAAAGCTGCTCTCAGGGAGCCTTCAGGAGAGGTAACATGCTCACCAAAAGTGTCCTGGAGTGTAAAGCACAAGTCTGAGGGCCTGGTGGAGTAATTATTCTGTCTGGTGCCTGGGCCTCACTCAGACTTTCTGACCTGGTGCTGTTTGGCTGAACCCATAGTCTCCTCATCTGAGCCAGCAGCAAAGTCCACAGTCTGCATAACTGCTGTTGCATTTCTTGTCTCTGTGTTGCCTGTCTTTCTGGAAGGTGGTTCCTGAGAGTGTGTGTGGTTGAGAGAAGGAGCCAGTAGTAGTGGGAGAGGTTAAGAAGTGTGGAGGTAGAAGTAGTTACTTTTATTTCCTGATTTTCTCTTCTGAAACTAGTTTCCAAATGCTCCTATCTTAATCTCAACCCTCCACAGTGTTGGAAGTTGGATGTCATACTTATGGAGTTTCCCAAGCCAGGATCATAGTACTGTAAATATTGGTCGAAAACGTGTTCAGATAATCCTTTCGGACAGTAAAGTTTGAGTTCATTTAGATAGAAATCAGTGATAGTTAGTTAAAGCTGACCAGAATGTTGTGGGTGGGAACAGGGAGGACCATCTAGTTTCTTCACAGCTTGCTTTAATAAACTTGTATGAAGTGGATATTCTGTTGCAGTGTTTATGTTTGTAGATTTGAGGGCTTTGGACACAAACTGCTTCCTAGTGCTGGCCAATGCTAGGTGTTTGACCTTAGCCTGTTTGTGGGGAGAATGATTAGTCATCCCTCAAATTGCTTTGGCAGTTGGCAATTCTCAAAGCTCTTTTGCTTTAGTCATTTGATTTAGTCTTCACGACCTTGCAAGGATGAAAATGGAATGCAACTTATTAAGCATCTACTATATGCAAACTTTGTACATGGGATCTCATTTAATCCTCCCAATATTTAATTATCTGACTGGTATTGGCTCTTTATTGCTTACGCGGAAGCTGAGGCTCTGAGAGGCTAAGAGACTTGTACAGGGTCAATGCCAGAGTTAAGCCTAGAATCCCTGCCTGATCCAGTGCTCATTCTGTGTTGTGGTGTTTCTTCTGACTTCCCATGAATCAGGGTCATTGGAATCACCTGGAAGGCTGTTAAAGCTAGATCGCTGGTCCCTACTCTGAGAGTTTCTGATTCAGTAGACCTGGGATGGGGCTAGTGTTCTCCATTTTTAACAAGTTCCCCATGGTGCTGATGCTGCTGGTCCAGGGCACACTTAGAGAACCATTGTGCTGGGTGAAAAGTTCTTTCATCTTGTCTGAATCTTCGGACAGTAAATGTAGGTTTTCCGTGGACAGACTGTAAGTATGATTATTTAGAATTCATTCATTCATTCAGTGGCTCCATACTAACTAAGCATTTACCAGGATGTTTACTTTAGTAAGGGAGCTAAGACAGGTAACTAAATCAGATATAATGGAAAGTGGCGGCACAAAATCGGATAGATAATTGAAGTAAATGAATGGAGGAGGGACAGGCTGATCACCACAATAATAGCTAGAGAGTTTTAAGTTCAGTATTGTATTACTGTGTGCCACAGATTAAGGTGGGAGCTTTATATATCTTACAGTCCTTTAATCAATACTGTGATTAAGTACTGTTATTATCTCCATTTTGCAGATGGGGACACTGAGGCAGAGAGAACGTCACATAACTAGCAATAAGGGAGCTGGAGCTGAAACTTTGCATTCTTGCTTCAGAGCTGGTATCTGATATGATGGGCTGCCTCCAGCAAGGAAGGAGGTGAAGCAGAGCAACGGAGGAGGGAAGGAAGAACTTGGGGATGACTTAGGAGGTAGTGGCTACTGAGCAGGGTCTTGACAGATGGTTAAGATTTAATTCATGTAGAAATGGAAAAGGGGGCTTGGAGGACTTTCTTGCCAGAGCAACTTGAACAAAGACTAGATGTAAGGGCTAAGTGGGAGTAGTGGGAGTAATTTTATTGCCTAGCAAGAAACAAGCGGTGAATGGTGAGATGGGAAAGGTAGGATAAGGTCGTATATGGAGGGCTTCAAATGTTCACCAGGTAGTTTGGACTCATTCATTTGACACTGGGGAACCATGAAAGATTTGTAGGGACAGGGGATGGATTATCATTACTGAGGCAGGAGAATTCCCCTTGGTTTGGGAAAAGGTCACTTCCTATGAGCCCCCATTAGAGATGAGGAGGTGCTGAGGTAAATTGGTGGAACACAAGATGAAGTCTGGGGTTCTGAGAACATTTGTCCTTAACTGCCAGGATTGTTTATGAAACACCAGCCATCGAAAGTCACGTGTGGAGGGTCAGCCTGTTCCTTGTCCTGATCTGCTTTCCATGTACATAAACAGGAGCTGAGACCTCACAGGGCCTTCCTGGAGGGGTGCCCCTGCTTATAGTGGGTTGTTGGGGATATTAAAATTCTCTTCGAATGGTGTTTTTTCAAAACCCATGTATATTCATATTGAAAATTTGAAAAATGCAAAGGAGGAAAAAAGTCACCATAATGTGCTTCCTTATAAACAAACTCATTGCGATTCTTCTCATTTCTCCTGAGTGGAATAAGTGAAATACTTGTGTATTTGATGCTCAGTTTTCTCAGCCTCGGAGATACAACATTGTATGACCAATCTTTGCATATTTCTATATAGTTTACTTGATTTTTCTTTTGGGGAGGGACACAAGCTGAAGTAGGGCATATAAATACAGTTCTCAGAGGAACAGCTGTTAAGGGTTATTCCTTTTTCTTTTTATTGATTGAGATGACGTTAATTTACAATGTTGTTTGTATTTTAGAGATATAAGATTTGCCCCTTTGGGTGTTGTTACCTCATCTAACATCCAAGCACCCATAGTCCACCACCACAGTCCATTTTCTCCTACCCCTCTTTGTTCTTGCCTCTCCCCGAGGGTTGTTCTTGAACTAGCAGAGTCATCATTTAGAATTTTTAGGCTAACCTTATAGTCTAAAAAGATATAATCAGGTTCAAGCTTTTTTTCTTTCTTTCTTTTTTTTTTTTTTCTGCCTCAGCTTGTGGTAAGAAGGGCCTTTTTTCCGGTGTGGTGCCTATTTTAGTGCTCCTTCCAACCCTCCTGCCCTAGATTTTCTTTGATCTTTTCCATGCATTCATCAGTCCTGCAGTCTGTCAGTTCTTGCCTTCTCCTCTAGGCAGCCTTCCTAGACTTCCCTGTTTTTGGAGCTGAATCTCTTCTCTGAACTCACCGTATTTGTTACCCATTTCATTTAGTTGACTTTTCCCTCACAACATAGAGAAGAATATTACTTACCCTCCAGGCTTTTGTGAAGATTAAATGAGAGTATGTGAAGTCTTAATATGCTCAAACCTGTTGATTCCTTTCTCTCTGCCTGGGGCTGTTTCCTGTTACCTTATATCTTGCCCTATCCTCCTAATAAGACTGGAGGCTCCTCAGGGCAGTTTACATACTTTCCATTTTTTGGTGACCTTCACAGCAGTAACAGAGTGTAAACTACAGTTAGTCACACCCAAGGTTCCTTTCTGTTGAACTTATTTTTTAGCTTCTTTCAAAGCTCAAAATATTAGCCATCATTGACTAACTACCCCATCACATGTCAGCATCTTACTAAGTGCTTTATACACACTATCCAATAATTTTTTTTCTCTGAAAACTCCGTTAAGTCAGTGATATGATCTCCATTTTACAGATGAAGAAATGGAGGCTTAGAGGACATAAGAAACTTGCCTGTGGCTCAATGGCTCTTGTAATCTGAACTATGTTCCACACCCAGGGAGTCTAGCTCCAGAGCTTTTGTTCATATTGCTTTTTAGAAAGCAGGCACGGTCTATTTCCGCTTAGACAAGAAGGGGCCTTAAATAATTCCAAATGGAAATTCCATGAGGATAGCATAATTCCACCAATGAATTTTAGAGGAATGTGGACCCTCACGACCCTCTCTTTGCTCTCATCCAATATTTGACACTTTTGATTTTGACCCGAGTCAGTCTTGTCTGTGCCTTTCTGTGTGACTACCCCTTGTGGGAATCCATTTACTGCTCAAATCTGCAGCTTCCTGATATGTGAACAGGGACAGGAAGTGTGTTGGACGAGAATACTTGCTCTGTTACATCTTACATGAAAAACTATGTAAAAGCAAAATATATTATATTATTCTGCTGTTATTCTTCCCATGCATCCTTTAGACTAAATGCTCCATGAGATCACCTGTTTTTTAAATTAATTAATTAATTTGAGGTAACACTGGTTGACATCACTGTATGTGATTCAGAGGAATAAATAGGTTCATAACTCCTCACATGTGCACCACCACACCCCACCCACCCTGGAGGAGAGCACCTGTTTTTATTTGTACTTATTTATTTACTTAAAAAATTGTGGTAAAATAAACATAACACAAAATTTATTATCTTAACCATTTTTAAGTTCATTGGCATTAAGTACATTCACACTGGTTTGCAACCATCCCTACCATCTATCTCCAGAATGTTTTCATCTTCCTGAGCTGAAACACTGTCCCCATTGAACACAAACTCCTCTCTCCCCAGTTCCAATTTCCCCTCTCCCCAGTTCCTGCAGCCACCGTTCAGCTTTCTGTCTCTATGAATTTGACAGCTCTGATACCTCATATAAATGGATTTGACCTTTCATGTCTGCCCTTTTACTCTTAGCATAATTCTTCAAGGTTCATTCATGTTGGAGCATGTGTCAAAATCTCCTTTCTTTTTAAGGCTGGATAATATTCCATGTACGTTATGACCAGGCAATTCCAGTCCTAAGGATCCACCCAAAGGACACAAAAACATTGATTCAAAAGACTACCTATACCCCTATGTTTAATGAAGCACTACTTACAATAGATTAAACCTGGAAACAACCCAAATGCCCAAAAATCGATGACTGGATCAAGAAGATGTGGCATATAGGCACAGTGGAATATTATTCAGCAATCAAAAAAGATAAACTCATGCCATTCGCAGCAACGTGGATGGAGCTAGAAGGAATTATGCTAGGTGAAATAAGCCAGAAGGAAAAGGAAAATATCGGATGGTTTCATTTATAGCAGGAATGTAGGAGAACCAAATAAGACATCAGTGTAAAAAAATAACAACAGTGCAAAACACAACAAAACAAAAACAGACAATTATAAATCAGAGACATCCTGCAGGGGAGAAGGTGGGAGAGGGATCAGAGGGAGGGAGGGAGGAGCACAGGGGACTGAGGTGCTGGTGCACGGGTGCCTTGGGGAAGGAAACTCTATGGGGACTACACCTGAGGGGGTGGGGGGAAGCAAATATTGTTCAAAAATGAACAATGATGTAAAAAAATAAATTAATAAAAAAATTTTAAAAATATTCCATGTATGTGTTACCACCTTTTCTTTACTCTTTCACCCATCTTTGTTGTTTTTTTTTTAAAAAGATTTATTCATGCATACAAGAGCTGGGGTACAGGCCAGATATGCAGGGGGTGAGAGGATTCACCAGAGACAGAGTGAGGAACAGAAAAGGCAGAGATTGAAATACACTGCTGAGGGGAGCAGCGGGCGAGATAGGAGAGGCCTGCTTTGCCACATGGGTTTCTCTCTGGCCGGCCTGGGATCGAACTTGTGCTGCAGAGGCTGCAGATTGCTTCATAGTGCAGTGCTTAAGCCCGTGCACCACCAGGGAGGTCCTCACCCATCTTTGAATACTTGGCTGGCTTCTACCTTTTAGCTATTGTGAAGTATAATGATGCTGTAACATGAGTGTACAAATATCTGTGAGTGTCTCTGCTTTCATTTCTTTTGGATATATATCCAGAAGTTGACTTACTGGATCATGTAGAAATTCTACCCAGTTTAGGAGGAAGAACTGCCACAGTGTCTGTACACTGTAGTCCCACCAGTAGTGCATAGGGACTCATTTCTCCACATCCTTGCCAAAACTTATTTTCTGTGGGTTTGTGTGTGTGTGTGTGTGTGTGTGTGTGTTTTGTAGTAGCCATCCTAATGGCTGTGCAGTGATACCTCATTGTGGTTTTGGCTTGCATTTCCTTAATTACTGTGATATTAACACCTTTTAATGTGTTTATTGACCGTTGTATATTTAGAGAAATGTCTATTCCAGTCCTTTACCCATTTATAAGTCAGACTGATCTTGTTGTTATTGAGTTTTAGGAGTTCTCTTTATATTTTAGATATTAATCTTTATTACATGTGTGATTTGTTAAGTATTTTGTCCCATTCTGTGGGCTGCCTTTTTACTCTGTTGATTGGTTCCGTTGATGCACAAAAGTTTTTAATTTTGATGAAGTCCAATTTTTATGTTTTTTCTTCTGTTGCCTGTGCCTTTGGTTTAATGTTCTAATTGTTCAGGAGAGTCTAATACATGTCTTGAAGACAAGAATGATCATGTTACTGGTCAGCATGACTCCTCACCATGAATGCCTTGCATGCATCATTTCTTTTTAATTCCCAACAGCCTGTGAGGCAGTTTTATAAAGTAGGAAACTGTTTTATAAAGTAGGAAACTGACTTTAAGTCTCAGCATAGCAGGGACTTGAACCCAGGTCTGTGTCCTCCAGAGCCAGTGTGCTTACCACTAAACTGGAGAGTTCAGTAGTTGTGGAATTAGGTGAACAAACACCTGAATAAATTTGGTGGCTGAAATTCTCCAAATAGTTTAACTGGAAGTCTGGAACTCAAGCTGCCTGTCACCACCAAATGCCAATAAAGCAGAGACATAAATTGATTTTTTTAAAAATTTATTTATTTATGCATACAAGAACT